AATATCTGTTGATGTTGAACGTTCATTTAGTCTCTATAAACAAATTTTAAGCGATAGAAGAACTAACATGAGTACAGATTATATGTAAAATATATTATTATTAATTCATATAATAAAATTTAAATAGTATTTCAAGTTTTCAAGGCCGTAACTGTGGGGGGTTCAGGGGTCCGGACCCCCCTCCCCCCCCGAAATTTTCAAAAGTAGAAACATTTTAGCGGTGAACATAGTTTATTAACTATAAATTGTATTAAATAATAATGTTAGATCCCCCCTCCGAAATTTTTTTTCAGTTACGGCCTTGCTTGTGACTTTATCTTATCTTTATTGTTTATTAATGCTAAATAAAACCGAAATTACAAAATATAAATTTAAATATACGATATATTACTATTGCGTATTCAGTATAAACTATAAAATATAGGGCATAAACTATAAGGTGCCTCCAAATTTTTAGAAAATAATATAGAGTGCCGTGAGTCAAAAAAGGTTAGGAACCTCTGGTTTAAGTAAATAAGATTTTAATTTCGCCTAGTAAAATAAGAACAATGAAGTATACACCGATATCATATTGTGATTTGGAACGTTCTTTTAGCAGGTATAAGTCAATGTTAAGACCAAGTCACCGTAGTTTTAATCTTGAAAAGTTAAAAGAATATATAATATATTATATAAATATAATATATATATATATATGGTTTATCACTGTTATAATTTAAATGAATGAAAAATTATTTAGAATTGTATTTTAATTTAACATGTTTACATATCTTTGAATTTTTTATTCCATATTTTATATTTTTTACTACATATTTAGCAAATTTTAAAAACATATATATGTATATATTTTTGGTTTTTTATTACATATAAATGTCAGTTCTACTTATCAGATATCAAACAACGGAGAACAGTAGTGGTAACGGCTGCAGTAAAATACAACGCTGAAACAAAAGACAAATAGATCCATTTTAACGCGCGTTAAAATCATAATGTAACATATTATATTTATCTCTATTCATTTTTAGTTTTTGAGGTTTTTTATTTTATTTTTTAATGTAAATTTATAGTTTTCTGGAGTATAGGAAAAAACGATTTTAATTAAGTTCCAACTCCCTAAATAACCGGTGATATTCACCAGAATGGTTGCATCACATTTGATTTTAACGCTTAAAAGGTTGGTAGACAAAAACCGCACACTTTACTTATTGCCAGGTATATTGTACAGCCAAATACCGCAAACTTATAGTGGGTTAAAACCTCACTATATAATGTATTAATAATAATGTATTTTGTATAGACGAATGTTGTATATATAATTTTAAAGTTAATTGTTACATTCAAAAGCTTATTTTATCGCATGTTGATGTGCCCGAAAAATAATTAGTATATTTGTCGACCAAAACGCATGGTATAACGTAAAGTTTATAAACATATATATATATATATATATTATAAAAAAAATTGTTTTTATAAATGGATTTTAAAACTATTGTTAGTAATAAATAGGGAACGGATTTATATGTAAATTAATATTTTTATTAAAACGAGATATTTAAGATTCGATACATATTTTTACATATTTTGGTATAATTACATATTTTTACATATTTCACTAATTTGTAAATATTTTTAAACATATTTTATCATTTCACGTCTTCTTCGTACGAAAATACAAGAAATTATTTCAAATTTAGATCCAGTAACTTCTATCGCTATTAGAAAAGCTCAAAATATTATGCAAAATGAAACATTGAAAACTAATTTAATTTTCATCTCAATGAATTTTAGTTTTATTGCACATTCATTTACAAAATTAGAAAAAAAATATGTCCTTAAATGATAGTATGCAAATTGTCGAATCAACGATTGAAAAAATGAAAACTCGTAAGCGGACCAATGGGAGATGTTGTAAAAAAGAAAATTCATGCTGTTACAGAAAAAAATTCCAGGCTATATTGATTTTAAATCAATCAATGACATAATGAGTGTCAGACATCCTTCTAAAAATTTAGAATTATTGCCTTCTGATATTATACGCTGCAAATATGCTTCAATCAACCGATGTAGGTTGATGTGGAACGATCATTTTAGCCGTTTTAAAAATATTTTCAGATCTAATAAGCGACATATAATATTTGATAATTTAAAAGATTTTGTAATAATTCAATGCAACAAATCATTTTGATAATTTAATAATTATAATTTTTTTTTTTTTTTAATTAAATTTTTTTCCTACATATTTGGATGTTTTTAGCACATATTTTATAAATTATACTTACATATATATGTACATATTTCTGTATTTTTATTACATATTAATCCGTTTCCTAGTAATAAAGGTTGTGAGACGGGATGGTCTTAAAGACCCAATAAACCCTAAGAAAAAAAAGAAGAAGATAGTAATAAAGGGAGCAATTTTTTTTTTATTTTATTTATATTTTAATTTTTGAAAAACGTCTGCAAAAAATTTTAGCCTCAAACATTTTTATACATTTTTTTAAATTGTTTAATGCCTATATACATTGTATAAATTGTTAAACAATAAATTGTTTTTGAATAAATGTGTAAATTAAATAATAAATAATAAATTATATATCATTATAAAATGTGCGGTTTTTGGTTACAAGAATTTAAAAATGTGTGTGGTTTTCACCTAGCAAAAGTGAGCGGTTTTTTCTGTATTTTATCAAAAGTGTGCGGTTTTTGGAGTCGTCGACCAGAATGATCTATTTTTTGTTTCTCGTTTTTTTTTTTTTTTTCGGAGAGCGAGAAATTAAAAAACAAGCTAAAGTTCTTCTTCTTATGAACTGCTGGACATTTTTTATCGCGAGCTTTTTACTTGGTATATAAGTGACAAGCTACTGTACTTGGCAAATGAATATGTAGTAATGCGGCATGGCAGTCAGGTACGTCATCTATAGAACGCAACGTTAATAACGCGTTCTATTTGACAGAGCCTAAAAATAAATATTATCTGGAACGTTTAAAATAAATACATCAACTCAATACAAAATAGAGCATATAATTATGTTAGGTACCATAATTCAAATTATGTGTTTATGTCTATATGTATGATTTGATCTGTGTATACATTTACTTTAAGAATTTTTATACGAAAATTTTAAAAGAAACAAACTTTTTGGAATAAAAAAAATTGTGTCTCACCTCACTATATTTTATGTAGATTTTCGATTACAAGAATTATTAAAATATGAATTTAAATAAAATATTGGTAAACAGAAATTTTTGATTTTTAATTATAGTATCAATGGTGATAACACATTAGATATCCTAATTATTTTTTATTATTAATTTACTGCTCACACATTAACACAATCCAAATAAACATAACACAAAAATTACCTAAATATTGCTCCTTAAGACATGCATGTTACATACGAGCTTCAACTCCCTTGATAGCAATAAATTAAATAATTCTTGTTTGGCATTCACTGAAACTAAAAATTCTTATTTAATATAAATTATGCATTCGATGTGTTTACTATAAAATTATTGGTCAAGCTTATTACACACTAGGCGTTAATGAACGCGTGCGTCGGCGTGTTTAAACACCGTTGTGCTTGTATTTACTAGCTAAATAACTCGACTTCGCCCGTGTGCAGATTTTTAACTTTGCAAATAATTATTTAAAATGACTAGTTGATAGTTGGACTCTGACCACGTTCATACATTTATATTAGGTACCTATGAGAACTACAAATAGAATAAAAAATAATGTTCTGTAAAAACGTTTGATCTTGAAATGAAAATCAAACACTAAAATGTCCAACTCGTGGTGCTAGTGTATTTTTAAGGAATTTTCATTGAGCGACAAATTATTTTCTGAAATTGATCAATGTATAGTACAGTAGGTATGATGGTATATTTCACATTCACTTCACATAATCATTAAGAATAAATCTTAAAATTTATAGAAAAAATTAAAACCTATAGTATGATAATATACAATATTGTGTTACTTATATTAAAATTTATCTACCATGCATCAACTAATTATTTTTTTTTTACATGCCTAATTCAAGAATTCTTCTTTTGATAGTTAATTGTGTTATTATTATTATTATCGTATGACCTTTATTGAATGCAATATAATTATAGTTATAAAGTACTATTACAGTATTAATACTACTAGCTAACAGACAAATTAGAATAAACAAATAAATATATAAACAAATAAATAAACAGCTGCATATAACAAATATAAACTATGGAATATAAAATACTAATAAATAAATAGATTGGTAAATATGTGAGTGCTGTACGGTGGCATATACATTGCGTTATCTTGGGTTGTGGATTACGTTAGATTTCGATGTCTAATGAGTCTAGCCATTTAATTGCCCTGTCCGTAGCCGAATGAATCTCAGATAAGGTTCCAGTAAATTTCCTCTTTGCATATTCACTTATTATGTGTTCCATTGTTTGTTTATCTGCGCCACAGTCACATTTAGGGTCTGTCTTAATTTTCCACTTATGTAATAAATAATTACATCGACCTTGGCCTGTGCGTATGCGATTCAGCCTTGTCCAGAGTTTTCGGGAGAGGTCTGACCCTGGAGGTTTACTATGTACATTGTCCACTAAAGAACCGTTAATTGGGATGTTATTTTCCCAATCTTCCTTCCACGGATCGGGCTGAAGACTTCTATGATTCTTTATTGCTTCTAATCTCGCGATAAAGGGGCGCCGGGACTTGAGTCTTGGCATTGCAACTCCATATTCATGAATTGGCAATACTGGGTTATTTTGTATTTTGTCCGCAATTCGCAGTACAGTATTTTGTCGGCGAATATGTGGGGGTTCGATGTTGGATAAGACTGATAACCATTGTACTTGAGTGGATTTGACTGTACCAGTAATAATGCGGAGACCTTTCCGCAGTTCGGTATCTATTAGTCTACAGTGGGTACTTCCTTCCCAAACCGGAGAACAATACTCAGCCACTGAGTAAAGTAAGGCCAAGGTTGATGTTCGCAGGACCTGAGTATTGGCTCCCCAAGTAGTCCCGGCAAGTTTGGAAATTAATGCAGTTCTCGTTTTCAATTTGGAAGCTACTTTCTCCAGGTGATGTTTGTACATTGTTACAATTAACATTGTACAATGTTAATTGTGTTTCGTACAGTCATTCAAAATACTAACAACTAAGTGACAAAATATTTTCACTAGGCAACATTTGTGTCATTTGGTTAACTAGTGTAAAAAATTCACATGATATGTTAACTAATATTTAAAAAACAGACCATTTAAACAATTACAATTATTACAAAATATATTAATACCTATGACAAAAAGTAATTTTTAATATTTTTCTAATTTAATTTCATCTGAAGCATACAAAATATTTTCTACACAACAGGTTATACATATATTACATATAATGCTAGAACAAAGTATTAAATACTTAAGTTATCTTTCTTATAATTATAGTTATAGTTAAGTTTTCTTCAGCATGCTAATTATTTTTTGTTAGTGATAGTTTAAATAAAATTGTATTTGGGCTTCTCTTGTTCTGATTTATTTTAGTAGGTATAAAATACATAAACTTTTTTAAAACTATCTTATATTGTTACATTTGTATTAAATTCAATATAATATCTCTTCGTTAAAAATTGTTTATAATCCTATCATTCCGAAAATAATGTCTTCTAAATCAACAGCATTTTCTTGTCGTTTTTAAGATTGATTATATTATCATTGGACATTATCATTTATCAAAATGTTTCATCGGCTTATTATTGTCACAATTATTACTCTTAATATTATTATAATTTAATTAATTAATAAACAACGCAATTTCATGTTTAAAAAGTTATTATTGTAAGTTAAAAAAATTTATTATAATATCATAATAATATGATTCTTTGTTTGTTTCAGTCAAAAAATAATATTTTAAAATGTTTCACAGTCATCAAAGAGAAGATAATTATGATCATATAAACAATACACTAATATATACTATAACAAACATTCCTGGACCTGGTTGTAATATGAACGACTTTAACAGCTGTCCTAATCAAATGTGTAACTGTACTGATTTGTGTCATACACCAAATTGTGAATGTATTGCATTAGCTGGCTATAATAATTACGATGAATTTGGTAAATTAATATCCGTTGATAAATTAATATATGAATGTAATGATTTGTGTAAATGTACTTCATGTCAAAATCGAAATGTTCAACTTGGTCCACGAATCGGATTGCGTATCTCTCACTTTAACAAAGGTTATGGGTTGTACACTGATATTGCTATTGAAAAAGGACAATTTGTTTGTGAATATGCTGGTGAAATAATTGATATATCAGAAGCACAAAGACGATCAAATTTAGATAATGTAAATTATATATTTGTTATAAATGAACATTTTTCTGATCATACTACTACAACTGTCATTGATTCTACCATTATTGGAAATATTGGTCGTTACATTAATCATAGTTGTCAACCTAACTGTATGATTATACCAGTGCGGATTGATTCATTGATCCCAAGACTAGCAATTTTTGCCGTAAAAGATATTCAATGTAATGAAGAAATAACATATAATTATGGAGGTGAAGGATCTTACTCTCAAAATAATTTATCTGAAGTTCCATGTTTATGCGAATCAAATAATTGTAAAGGATTTTTACCTCATAAAAGAGGGTTATTTTAATGATTTGTTTGTAAACAACTATGTGTATAGATTGACCACATTACAGTGCCCAACTTAAGGAGGGATGGAGTACCTTAACTAGTTTTCAAAATTTTAGTGTCCCCCCCTACTATTATTATTACGTTATAATTATAACGCTAAACTAGTTTTGAGAACGCTCTTTTTTTTTTTTTTTAAATTAAACAGTTCCCCTTCACTAATCAGGGCAAGTGAAGTACTGCCGCATTATATTCTTTAATAATTCATGTGTAAGGAAAAACAATATCTGCAATATTTTTGAAGCTAAATAACTTTAATTTTTATGTGTATATTTTTGTTAAAATTATGTTAAAATTTTTTTGTGTGTTAACTATTATTACTTCATTTAAGTTAAATATTATTAAACACAACCATTTTTATGTACTTAATGTTTTATTTAATGTAGTAGATAAAAAAATAATTATGGCCCTAAAATATTTAAACTTTATTCAGTCACTGGAACTGAGGGTTTAATTTTCAGTTAAGCCCTTGACTATATGGTAGATTAAGCTAAATTGACATAAAATATATCATAAATACTCTTCTCCATAAGGAGCATTTTAAAACAAAAACCATTAAGGTTTAGTTAGTAGGTGTGTAAAGGTTAAAGATAATCAATGAGTAAATGGTTAAAATGAACTATAACATCTGATGACAGTTAAGGTTATTGAACCAAATTTTGTTTGGGATATAAGCAAAAGTAGATTTATATCTAGAGGCAAAGTTTGCAAGTTATTTATTCCAATAAATTGATCAAAGAAAAGAAATATGGCATCATAGAATTGGACCAAGGAATAAAAGAAAAGGAAGAACTTATACAAATTGAGAATTTGGCCTATTGGGTACCAAATTTACACAAATCCCCACATGCCTAGAATAATAAAACCTTATTAATAGAGAAAGAATAGAATAGTTTTGGAATAGTAAGGGATGATAAATGAAAATTGAAAAAAAGGGTTATAAAAGACTTGATTATAACTAGGCTTAGGGACTTCTAGCATTTGCATACTTTTTTTAATTATTGTTAAATATAGCAGAGTGCGAAATAAATTCGTTTCTCGGTGCCATGATATCAGATTTAAAATTTGAATGTGCATATTTTTGCATATTTGATAGATTTTGCAGGATATTGCATATTTTAAAATGTTTATACTTATTTTGCATATTTTAACAAATTTTCCAAACTTAAAATTAAAAACTATGGATACATATTTCAACCTATCGAAAAATAAATATGTTAAATGGACTTAATACTTCCAGTAATATGCTATCTGCAAACTACCTATCATATCTCGTTATAATTTTCGTGTAAGTATAAATAATACTATAAACCTGTATCGACTGTATAACCCGCTAGATATTGACTTGATGTCGATAAAGATAATAGTTGATATAGAATAATAGATTATTTTTTTAGTGTCCACTTCAGTTGATTATTATCTAGGGCCATAGCTAGGGACTAGCGAGAGGTGCCTACACCCGTGGCGCAATTCCTGGAAGAACACAAAAATTAAAATCTTGCGTTTAATGTTAAAAATTACAACGGTCAATGTCGTATATTTTATTTACAAAATTTTTAACAGTCTTCATATTATAATCAAAACAATTATCGAAAATAATATCTAATAAGTATATTTTCAAAATGAAAACACGTAAGGGCGCATTTTGAAGTTTCACCCCGGGCGCAATATTTGGTTGCTACGGCATTGTTATTATTCGTCGTTGTTTTTGCATCTCGCAATCCACAACGTCAAATCATTTGTAAAACATCGTACGCGTATATTTTATAACATTGTGTAATGCCGAAAGTATAACAGTCTACGAGTAGCCAACTACAAAGTTTTGTTTCGGAGTTTAAAGATACATTTACATGCAATGAACACGTTTTATTTTGTGTACTATGTGATCATTTTTTTTTTTTTTTTAATGCATATAAATGCATATTATATAAGAAACATATTTACATGTATATTTGTGTATTTTTTAGAGCTATAAGTCCTTAAGCCTAATTATAACTCTTAACTCATATGTTTTCTTTTGAAGATTTTAACTTAACTATTTTAGTTCAGCTTTAGTAAATAAATGTAACATACATTTATATTTTAGATCTCACAAATTTTACCAATCTCTGTGAATATTATAATTTTCATTAAATTATCCTTTTTCAATAATATTATATAGTATAAATAAAAATGAAAATATATTTTTATAGGTAAATTAAAATGTATTTATAACAAAAATTAATTTTATTTTGTTTTTGGTACTTTACGGTTTCTATTACGATTTTTAACATTAGTAACTTCATAAAAATCAGTTCCAACTTTCTTTCTTTTATTCCGTAACATTAAACTTCTTTTCTGTTTACTTGTCAAACTACTCATGTAAGCTTCATGTGCTAATTGTAATTTTTCTTGTTTTTCTCTCTTTCTTTCTTCTTCTTCGTCACTATCAGTAGAAGTAGCATTTTCGTTTTCTTCAGTAGGAGTGGTGACATTTTCTGTTTCTTCTTCTGAATCACTTTCTTCTGCAACATTTAACTCAGCTTTCTTGGTAATTGGTTCTTGCTCTTGATCTTGAGCTGATAGAGGTTCTTCAAAACCAGGAGGAGGTTTATAATAAGGAATTTTCCCTCTTTGCCAATCATTTAATACCATCCTAGCACATAAGGTAGTATCTGCATCACCACCTTTTAATAATTTACCTGTTTTTATACCAAGTTGTGACAAGAAATCTTCACTATCTTCCCAACTCTCTAGCCCATAAGTTTTAGATAAATGTTCAGGTTTAACTCTTTCCATTAATGGTGGAATATATTGTTCTGGATCAGGTACAAGCTCAACTCTTACAACACCTTTTAATACTTTCTCTGTATCGGTTTCAGTATTAGCGGCATCATAAACAACACCTGGACAATCGATAAGGAAAATTCTTTTCATTAATGTAATATATTGCCATACTTTAGTTTCACCAGCAATAGGAGCTACTTTACAAACCTTTTTAGATCGCAAAGCATTTATAACTGAACTTTTACCAACATTCGGATAGCCAATGAAGCCAACACTTATTTGTTTACGTTCTGAATGTAATTTAGTGAATTGTCGCAGTAAATTAATCACAGCCCCTTTTCCAAAAGGATGAGTAAGTGAAGCATGAAATGCTACAGTTGGATATTCAGAACTAAGAATGGCAACCCACCTTTGAGTTACCCAGACAGGTACAAGATCAACTTTGTTCAATACAAATATTAAATGTTTATGTGGTTTTTCTTTTTTTAAAAAATTTTCTATATGAGCACAACGTGTTCCAGGAGGATCTCTAACATCTAAAACCATTATAACAACATCTGATGAATCGATTACTTTATATAGCTCGTTCCAAATACGTCTGCTTTGGCCAGCAGCCATTATCCAATCCCGAGGAGCAGTTTTTTCACCTGTGTCTTCTCTTACCAAATCTATATCTTTATCATCAGAATATGATTCATTAATAGAATTTACAGATTCTGATAATTGTTGTTCATCTCTAACAAATATATTTGGGCGTTTACGAGTTTTTTTTGATCCAAAAACACTTTCAAAACTTTCGGTTTCAAGAATATGTACACGCTGATGTTTCTTTTTTTCATTTAATAAGGTAATTGGCAAACCAGTTGGTTTCATAAGAATATCATATGGATTTTTAACTGCTTTGCCTAATTCTTCTTGAAATTTCTGTAAAGCATTTTGCCCAATGACTCTAGTATTGTCAAACCATTTACGATTTGGTTCTACACGAGCTTGAGCGCCACATGGTAACCAACCTTGAAATGGTGCTGCATGAATGATTTTACCATTTCTATCGCGTTTAGCTTTGAAGTTTCTATACATTTGCAACCTTCGTATAGTGGCTTTTGTTCTCACTTTGGCCACACCTTTAAGATTTTCTGTTTTACGCTCCGGATTCATACTGTGAGCTGACCGATTGAACCCCTGAGTGCGAGGGGCTTTAGAGCCCGAGCTTGTTTTAGGCATTTTGATCTAAGCAAATAAAAAAAAAAAATGTAGTTAAAACAGTAATATTAATATCTATAAGAACAATAGTCTTGTAATACAGCTTTTTAATATCCACAAAAAATGTATAACCTTGTTATACAGTTCACTTTTCAGATAACATTAGCACCAACAATAATTTAGAACTAATTCCCCAAATGCTTATTTAATTAATTTTAAAACATTGTGTTTAATAGATATATAATAAATCACCCATAAACTTGACTCTAAAAAATAAACATAGACTCTAAAAGGTATATTGACAATTTAAACTCCATATGGACGGATTTTAACGAATTTTCAATAATTATATAGATCTATTACAGAAAGACTTACTTTTAGGTTTCAATTTCTTAATATTATTTAAAAATATACGATACACTACTTAGAAACGTAATAAAAAATTTGTCAAAACACGTGTCTTCAGCTAACTGTGACAACAAATTAGTCATTTAAATGATTACAGTGATAATAGCTGTATTGTGCTAACGATAACAGGGTATATAACCACCAATGAAAAATAAGTAAATAATAGATATCCATGTGAGATTATATTTGATCTGTAATAAAAAATATATCTTGGTCTTCAAATAATATACCATGTATACCATTGGTTCGTATTTGAATTACAATCAATAACTATTCGTGATTGCAGGATTGACTATTGTCCACCAAAATGATAAATGATAAACTTAATACTAAAAAATTATTTAAAAATAATATTAATTAAGTATTTTTTAAGATAGTGATTTTAAAATTTTAACTACATCAATTATTTGTTGTAAAATTCGACTTTGATTCATTATTTTGCTTCATATTAGCAAATATTTAAAGATTTTAATGTCTAAAAACGAATTTGCCACACAATATGTCTGTGTTTGTAATCAAACTTATAGCACAAAATCTGAATTACGCAAACATGTGGGCTTTTGTAAACATGCCCAAAATCAGGCTAATCAGTACATCACTTGTCCTACCAAAAAAGATGTGTTAAAATTGGCCATTTCAGAATGTGAAATTCAGTCCATAAATGGTGACCAAACAATTAGCAAGGATCAGAAAATTGAACGGTTTAAATGTGGATGTGAAAAACGTTTTATGTCTAAAGGTGGTTACTACAGACATATTAAGAAATGTAATTTACGTCCTGAACAACAAATTGTAACTGGTAAAACAAAGTGCAACGAACCTGGATGCTTATTAACATTCAAGTACATTAGAGACTTTCGACAACATTTAAATGAGAAACACTGTATGCAATTTGATGTCGAGGATAAAAAATTTAATAGATATTCTGGTAAATGATGTAGAATTTATTCAATTTTTAACTACTTTGAAAGTAATATTAATACATTAAAAATAAATATTACCTTTCAAAGTTTTTCCATAGAAAAATGTTGATTAAATCTGTGTAAATATAAAATTAGTCATTCAGAATATATAGTTTTTATGCTTTATAGTAAAAATGTTTAAATAATTCATATGATTTTTTTTTAGTTCCTTATAGTATTATAATTTTATTTTGAATCAACAACTTTTCTCAAAGTTTTTTTGATAATAAATTTGCATCAACCATTTTTTATAATTACAGAAGTTAGGACCTATATATATTTTAGAAAAGTTGTTTTTTTTGATTTTCATGATAAACAAGCAATATATTATAGTTTAGATATAATTTGTATACTTTCATTTTAATGATTGCATATAAATTTGTATATATGATTAACTAAAGTCCAATATTTGACCTGCTTTATTTCTGAAATAATTTTTTTTAATGATAATTGTAAGATAACCTTTATTCATTAATTCTAAAATTTATTTTCAGAGTTTATATGCTGGAAAGAAAATTATGAAACAGAAACACGCAGTTGTTTTTATCACCGTAAAACCGAAACTCGTAGTGGACGCAGAGTAGAATATTGGTATTGTAATCGTTCGGGTATTTATCAAAGTGCATCACAAGGACGTAGACGCAAGTTAAAATCACAAGGAATTCTTAAAATAAATAATAATTGCACATCATCAATTACACTGACTATCAATGAAATTGAAGGTACTGTTCAAGCTATTATTTATCATACACATTATGGACATGAAGCTGAACTAGTGCATCTACGAATTCCTAAAAGTGATAAACAAGAAATAGCTTCTAAATTATTACAAGGAGTGAAAATTGAAGATATATTGTTATCTTATAAAGAAGATGGATCATCTAAACAAATTGAAAGAAAACACTTAATAAAACGTAGAGATATATTGAACATTTCCAAAAAATACAATGTTAATATTATTTTACCAACAGTACGACAATCCTCAAATAAAAAAAAGAATTCAAAGATTTCCCATCAAATAACTAAGTCATCCATTGAAGAACCATCACTAAATACAAATGAAACTAAAAAAAAACATGTTATTGCTTCTCAGCTTCCTTTGTCTTTTGTACTTCCAATTTATGAAAATGTTTGGAAAATTTCTATGAGTAATAATTCAATTTCATCTTATTCAAATAATTGTAATATAGATTTTTATGTCACTAAAATTAATGTAAAATGTTGTGATGATTGTATAGCTTTTTGTAATTTTTGTAATATTTGCTACCATTCATATTCTTGTACATGTTCTGATTATTTTTCAAATAAGATTATATGCGAACATGTTCATTTAGTTATTCTCTTTCAAGGAACTCCACAGACTTACCAGTACACAGAAAATGTAGAAAGACCTCATTACACTAATCATGATCATTCAACATACACACGACGTTTTACAGAGTCTGTATGTTCAGATACAGAACCTACTGAAAGTAATTATGTAAATGAAGATTTACCAAAAAATAATGATTATAATTTATACAATAAACAAAATTTTAAATTAGAAAATCTCAAAAGAACATTGGAAAAATTGATGATGGAGACTCTACAAAAAGTCAATGAATGCAACAACTATAATTTATTGGAGAATATAAAGAAACAAATGACTGATATAACATGTAATTTGAACACAGATTTATTACACAATAAAGAAAAGAGTAATGAAGTACAAACAATAATTAACCCTGAAAAAAATATAGAGGTTTTTTATGATTTTTAAATTTCGGTATTTTAGTTAACTGATTTTAAAAAATATATAAATTCTTTCACATCAAAATACTAAATCTATACTAATAATTAGTCCATAGATTTTAATTTTTATCGAGTATGTATAGTTTTATATTTTTTGAGTTATTAATTCCCTAATGTATGTACGTAGAGTATTATTGTTTAAGAATAATAAAGAGTAATTTTTAAATATATACGGAGTATTCTATTGTTGACACATAAACTATTCTACTCTTTGATAAGATAATGGGGTAAAATTAATATATACACTACATATGCAGGAATAAACTAGATATGTCGAAAATCTTAAATTATAATTATCAAACACTTTTCTCATAACCAGATCTTACAATTGTATACCATATTTCCATAAGATAAAGTAAAGTTTTCTTTTCCTTCACCTTTCTCCGACTATTTGAAGTCAGCCATTAAGTAAATACTTAATTTTAAATTGAATTAAATTAATTTATTACAATTGAAAAAATTATAAAAACATTTTTTTCTTTTTTTTTTTTTGATGGAAAATACATTGTTTTTGCTAAGCTTAATGTTGATCAATCCTATCCAATGCTTCTATAGTTAGGACACTATCGCCTCTTATAACCTGTAAATAATTAAAAATGTTGCTAAGCAAAACAAAATATTTAAATGAAAAAAAAAAGTATGAGAACATACCACCATGCCAATACTATTTACAACACCATCTTTAATTCTTTCTACTGTTTCATCCAAAACAAGATTCATAAATGGATCAAATCCACGCAGAACTCCTGATACTTGTCTATTGGCATTTAGTTTTACTGTAATAATAATTAAAAGTATTTTAAAAATATAATTTGGTAAGTAAACAAATATATTTATATATATAAATATTATCTAGAAATTTTTCTTGGTTCTTACACTGTAATTTCTTGTCAAGATATCTGAAAATAAAAATTTTAAAACAAATTTAAAAAATTTAAATTTTATACAATTTAATTTTAAGGTTATTAAATCAATAAGTTTTAATTTCTTATTCTTAAAATGTTATGCGAATCTAATTTAAAATAATTGTTTCAACATAGGTACAGTTCTTATGAATGATGAGCAGATTGTTATAAATAATACTTTATACATCAAAAGTAATGTAAATCATAAATATGGACATTTTCAGGAGTAACAAAAAAAATAAATATTTTCAATTTATTTTAATAATGGTAAGCTAAGCTAATATACTGTACATAGGTATAGTGACCCCTTGGGTTAGGTTAGGAACTACAATAGGGATCATTCAAATGTTTGATTAAAAGCATTTAACAGTTACAATATTTTATCATAATATATACTTAACATCAATAATAACAAATATGGACTTAACAAATTTTTTTAAAAAAAAAAAATTGACTTGTGTCAATTAAACAGCATTTCAAAAATAAAAATTAAAACTTGTGCGTAATTTTAAATACTTACCTTTTCAACTCTGGAGGATGTGCTTTACTCATGATGAAATTTTGTAATATTTGTACAAAACAATTATAAATCAGTAGACACTAGACTTTTCAAAATTAAGAATTATATTAGTGAATCATTACCAAACGTTCTAATAACAAGCTTCCCGGTTATCCTCGTTCAAGAATCGTTGTTTATACTTTATTCATGCTTGCGCTTTTCACTATCGATAATCATTAAAGCGATATAAAGTATTTTTATTTTATTTGTTATCACAAAATTATTTATGTACAAAAAAAAATTTCAATTAAAATAAAAACGGCTAATCAAATCCATTTAAATTGCAATATTACACATGCATAAAACGTTAAAATGAATATGATAGTCTAATATAGTTCAAAACTTTTAATTGTAGTACCAAAATAAATACAACATCGATATTTTAAAATCGATATTCTATGAATTTCATAACCACTTGAATTATTAAGGAACATTATGTACCTGAAGCTAGTAACGTATAGTCTTGTTGCTATAATGTTAATGTTATATATGATTATTGAAATTTTCAATTATTTAATTATTATTATAATTACTTAAGACTTAATTAAGAAAAATATATTATTGTTACTGAAAAAGGATGGTAAAATTTAAATGATAAAAAAAAACTGCTCGTGTTCAATAGCAAAATATTTCTAAAATGGCTATACTGTAATAAAAAACGTGATGTCAAGTTAGGTTATAATTTACAATAATATTTTCTTTCCTTTTTCAAAATATTTAAATACACTAAACACTTTTCATTGAGTTAATACTTTTTTTATGAGTAAACTTTTTACTGACAATTTTATTCGAACTAATTAATTTAATCAGAAAACATGCCTTTGTACAACTTCAAAAAGATCACGGTCGTGCCCACGGCAAAAGTAAATAGACTATATAAAATTTAATGATTTCAACAAAATTGTATTTTTACGTGTATATTTTAAAATTAATATTTTTATTATAGTTCTAATGCATTAATCGTTATATTTTCAGGATTTTGTTAACATTATGTTATCAAAAACTCAACGGAAGACTCCAACTGTTGTACATAAACATTATAAAATATCAAGAATAAGATCTTTTTATACACGAAAAGTACGATATACACAACAAAATTTCAATGAACGTCTATCTATGATTATTCAAGAATTTCCAAAACTAGATGTAGGTCTTATTTTTAATTTTTAAATGTTGTTTATCATAGTTAAATAATTCATTTTTATGCAGAATATTCATCCATTTTATGCTGATTTAATGAATATTCTGTATGACAAAGACCATTATAAACTTGCTCTTGGACAACTAAATCAAGCAAGGCATCTTATTGATAAGTAACTATTAAATTTTATAAATGTAACTATCATTTATATTTGTATATTTTTAAAAATATAATACAATTTTTCTTTCAGCGTTGGTAAAGATTATGTTCGCCTTATGAAATTTGGTGATTCATTATATCGTTGTAAAATGTTGAAAAAAGCAGCTCTTGGACGGTAAATTATGTCTTAATTCTAATCATTAGGACTTATTTTTAAATTTGATATTATTGATTTAACATGAATATGTGTAAAATTATATAGGATGGCTACAATTATGAAACGTCAAGCTCCAAATTTAGTTTATTTAGAACAAGTTCGTCAACATTTATCTCGTTTACCCTCAATTGATCCATACACTAGAACATTAATCCTCTGTGGTTTTCCTAATGTTGGAAAATCAAGTTTTTTAAATAAGGTATATAGTTTTATTACAATGGTTATAATTTTTAAATTTAAAAATAATTTTTTATATAGATTACTAGAGCTGATGTAGAAGTTCATTCATATGCATTTACTACAAAAAGTTTGTATGTAGGACATACTGACTATAAATATTTACGTTGGCAAGTAGTTGACACACCAGGAGTATTAGATCATCCTTTAGAAGAGAGAAATGTTATAGAAATGCAGGCTGTGACTGCATTAGCCCATTTAAGAGCTGCTATTCTTTACTTTATAGATGTTTCTGAACAATGTGGTCATTCAATTGCTGAACAAGTTAAGCTTTATGAGTCTATAAAACCATTATTTACAAACAAGGTATTATTCTATTCTTAATTTTTTTTTTTTTAACTTTAATGTTACATAATGATTTTGAAGTGACATATTTTTTCACATTTACTAAATTAAAATAATTTTCTTAGTTAATTTTTGTTAATATATTTATTTTTTAATTTTAAAATTAAAGTTTACATTAAGTTATAGCAGAAATTTGTCACTTTAAAGATAGTTTTTTAAATATTAAATATTATCATATGCATATTATAATTTATTTATACATTTAATGCTTACATATTTAATTACATTTTATATTTCAATTATTTATTATTCTAGCCACTTTTAGTAGTTTGTAATAAAACTGATGTTACTCCTATGGATCAGTTAAGTGAGGCTAGCCGTGAAGCATTGAGTATTTTTGAAAAAAATAATGTTCCATTATTACCTATGTCTGCTGTAACTGAAGAAGGTGTTATGGCAGTTAAACAACAGGTAATACATATTATTATAATTAATTATATTTATTGAATCTTATATTTTATTTTACTTTTACTATTAGGCTTGTGATACTCTCTTAGCTTATCGTATTGAAAATAAAATTCAAGCTAAAAAAGTTGATTCAATTTTGAACCGTTTACATGTAGCACTACCTAAAACTCGGGATGATAAAGAAAGACCACCTCATATACCTGGTTTGTTAATTATTTAATTATATTTTATTATATCATATTTGATTTTGAATGCAGCAAAAAATTGATTTTAAATTTTTTTCTTTTTGTCTGTATACTTTAAACACTTGTATTAGAATTTTACGCATAATTGAGAAAATGTCTTATCCTCATATATTTAATTTTATAGAAATGGTACTGCAAAAACAAAGATTAGCTGAGCTTCAAGAATTTAAGAAGAAGCTTGAGAAAAATTTGGAAGATGAACTAGGAGATGATTACATTTTGGACCTTAAAAAGAATTATGATCTACCAGATGATATTAAATATGACATAATTCCAGAATTTTGGAATGGGAGAAATATTGCTGATTTTATTCATGCAGAATTATTACAAGTAAACTATAAGTTCAAATGATAAAATTTAAAATCTACTAAATGTATTAATTTTAATAATTTTCAATTCTTTTTTACTTATTTAGAAAGTTGAAGATCTTGAAAAAGAAGAAGCCCTTAGAGAAGAAGCTGGATATTATGCTGTACCTAAACTTGAAATTGATGAAACTCTACGTGAAATTAAAGAATTGGCCCAAAAGATCAGAGATAGAAAGATTATTAACCGTAATGAAAGTAGAATATCACGTCAATCCAGTAAACCTACAACTCCTAGAACTGCCCCAGCTAAAGCTCGTGGTCGCAGTGCTACAGATTTTAGAAGTCGTATGGAGGATCTTGGTGTTGATATGGAAGATACTGAAAACGTAATAATTTATTTCAGTTTAATTTTTTGTTGGAACCAGTTATGCAAATTGTATTTTATTTTAGAATAAATTAATTTTGGCTTAGATAATTTTTTTTTAAATTTTATCTGTATGGTATTTCTTAAAGCTCGAATCACTTTCAAGATAATAAATATTTCACTAACATAACAATTTTTTGCTCCAGGCTCATTTTACCAAAACACGTGGGCGTGCTCGTTCTTTAACAAGGTCTCAGTCTCGAACAAATGCCAAGAAACCACGTTTGGGATCCATGCATCGCTCTACATCAACATCAAGAAGCCAAAGTAGATTACCTCGTAATCAATCTGGTGTTCGTGACTCATCGGTATGTTTTATCTATATTTTTTTAAATTGTAAATATATATTATTTTAATATGAATATTAAAATTATAAATTATATGTTAAGATGCAATTGAAACTTAAACAAGTGGCACATAAAGCAATTGCTAAGAAAGTTAAGAAACAAGGACTTAAAGGTGAAGCTGATAGATTTATTGGAACTAAAAGACCAAAACATTTGTATGCTGGAAAAAGAGGTATTGGTAAAACAGAAAGACGTTAACTCATTTACATTATTATTCTTTATTGTTACAATTTTTTTGTATTACATTGTAAAAGCAAATTTTAAATATTTTGAATTTATTTATAAAACATAATTAAAATATATAATCTTTATTTTAACAATGTAAAAGATTCTGTTTGTATGTTGTAACTAATAAATATACTTGAATGACTTGGTAAAGTTATTAGAAAAAGTTCCTAAGGTTTGCTGTTAGACTAGAAATTTAACTTGGTACCACTTACTATCAGTCGTTTATTATCTCACTAAACTATTGAATGATATTTTCTTTATCATTATTTTCAGTTTCATTAAATTAGTTATTCCTATATTTTATTCAAATTCTGAAATTGGTCATTTATTGTAAATGTACTGTGTTGTAGTAAAAAAATTATGACTCATGATGATAATAATAAGTAGGTCTCGGAAGTTGTAGCACTTAAAATGTAACTTTTTAGCTCTTAAATATAAACTTAAAAACTCTTATGGTCAGTACTCACGAACAATTATTTATCGGACGACATTTTTATTGTACGATCCTATAGTTGGCAGAACATATGACCGATATTTATTGAACGATACTATGTAATTTTGGCATTTGTGATTCTACAGTTGCACAAGACACACGTCTGCAAATACAATGATAGTGATACAGTCTTTTTAATTTTTAATCTCTAAATACATACTGTAATGGATAACATAATCACTTTATATATGGGATATAATTTACTAGCAAAAGAAAATGAACAGAAAAATCGAAAATTTTGGGTTCATCCCTTATTAAATACTCGCCTATCAGAAGGCGGATTTTATTAAATTCTCACGGTCTCAGGAAAGATCCAAGAAAATGTTTTAATTATTTCCGTATGACAGTTTCTGCTTATGATGAACTAATTACAACATTCGTTGAACAAAAACTGACAAAAATGGACTAAAATATGCGAAAAACTATCACTCCCGCTGAAAAATTGGCAGTCACTTTGAGGACTCTTGATTGGACTTCACTTATAAGTACATCTATATCTATATTTAAATTATCGTCTGAAAATTCACAAATTTTTTGTGTGGGCGAATTCGCTCCGCTAGAGCGGTTGCATCCGTGGATGACATGGTACTGAATTTGTTTTTTTGGTTTATCAAACGATAATTATCGTTCATGTGTTCTAATAAATTTATGTTTGCACATTTTGATTGAAATATTTTAGTCGTATGGTATTCTTATCGTCTGGAATATTAAAGTATATCCGACAGTTTTTGAGGTATCGTACAATAAGATAATCATACAACATTTTACCGTGATCCTGTGAATAGCTACCTGTATATTTATAAACATGTAACTTCAAATATATGATAAATAAATCGTACGATAAAATATTGCTGGTGTGTAACGGCTCTAAAATGTGCACTATAAATAGCACGAAAAATCAAAAAATATGCATTTAATCTTGAAAAAATTATAAATGTATTAGAAAAAAAATTAAATATAATTTTGCATATTTTTGAGCTCATAGACACAGTCTCTGGAATGGTTGAATTATAAACTTTTAAGCTGGGTCCACACGATGGTAGTAAAACGCGATAGTTGCTATCATGTGAGTGTCATCGTGAAACCCGGCTTTAAAAAAAATGTTATAATTCAATTATTTTATATATTTATCTTAGAAATTAATCTGTGTTAATAAAATTTTTGATTATCTAATGCAATGTAATATAATAAGGAAAAAAAAAAACATCTCTAACTATTATTACATCAAATTGTCGATGAAAACAGAATAATATTTGATAAGGTCTATTTATTTCCAATAATTCGAATATTTTTAAAAATATAACCAAGGAAATACCATTATTATCAACAAAACGTGATTATTTCCTGTATTATATGAAAATTTATAAACCAGGCCCTATTATTGGTACAATTTCCTAAATTTGCAAAATTGTATTAAAACCCGTAAATATGCAATAAATAGCATAATTCAATTTTATATTTGATATTTAAGTAGTGAGAAAGATATTTGTATCTTACTTTGGATGTTCTAGGATGAACCAAGAAAAATATGCATTTGCTAGAATTTCCGAGCCCTGATAATAAGTATTAAAAATTAATTTTTATTAACTAGAACAGAAATAAATTAGTATGATTTAGTATTAAAATATTCCTTATAAAAACAATTGCTGTTTCGTTTCCAGACCTTATACCAAATACTTAATAAATACCATAAAAGATTAAAAGAAAATTAAGAACAAGAATAAATTACTAAGTTCTTAACAATAAAAATCTGCAAATAAACTGTATTTTTTAATCAATGGTTAAATTATTATTCTTAAGTATTTTATTAATATATATTGTCATAACAATGTATATATGGCTAATATAATGTTTACATCATCAAATAATTTAGATTGAATTATTTATTAACAGTACATTAAATATTTATTGCAAAGTTGTTAAGGTCACTACAAATAGTAAGTTCTATTCAAAAAGTGGATTAAATACTTTGCTAATTTGACGATTCCTACAAGCTAGTTTTAGATTTAGGAAATTTCATGTCAATATTGCAAATGTTAATAATTTAATAAGGTCACAAATGGATCGTCAATAAAAATATGGTCCTGTATAATATTTTACAGTAAAAATATATTATGTACCCAAGGTAATGTACAATGGTTGAGAAAATATTTCTAAGTAATTTTTTTTATTTACTACGGCCTGTAGTGAAGAAGTTTGGAACGTTATTGTACATTATTGTAGACGATTGATGCTGAAAAATAATCGAATAACTAAAATTTCTCGATGGCAAAACAATGAGTTTATCCAACCATCCATACTAAACAATACTGAGACAGTGGTCAGTTACTGTATGCGCTTCAATAATATCAAAGATGATTATATGACTATAAGCAGTATGCATTGGGGTAGAACACTGATAATATTGCCTATTAAATAGCCATATTTTTAAAGGAAACTTAACAACTATATTTTATATAATATATATAAATAATATTTTTTAATTATTGCTATGATCAGCATTTTTTAAAAAATGATATATTTTTTTTAATAATTTAATTATTACTTAAGTATTAATTTCCTATTTAATATATAAGTACATGAAATAAACTTTTGTGGTAAATTTGTGAATATAATTATCATACTATTACTTTATTTTCCCATAAAGTGATCATTTTGACTATGTTCTACCATTGATGATAAATGCAAATACATGGTTTAAAATGTTTTAATTTATAAATTTTTAAACTGTATACTAATGTTTTTGATTAATAGTTATACATAAGGGACCACATATTTCTTTAGTCAAAATGAGACTAAAAAAACAAATATCTCCATAATTTTGATTACAAATTTTTTTCCTTTGATTTAATAATTATTAACAAAATTAAGTAATATCATGATTTTAAGGAACAAAAAAATTAAATTAAGTAATTACACTTATTATTAGATGTAACTAGGGTTGTCATAAATTTATAAGGCGAAACCGGGACAAAACAAACACATTATTGAGTAATACGAGCATACTTTTTATATAAATTTTATTATATTGAGAGGACCAGTGGCGTATACAAGGGGAGGATGTGGGGGTCAGATCCCCACTAGGCCTTTTTTAAATGTTATAATTTTCTTAGTGTGAGGGCGTTAGAAACGTAAAAAAATTAATAATAAAATAAAAATAATAACTTGTTTGCAAATGATCCCTCCTTTTATACAAGTTATGTATACGCCACTGAAGAGGAACATTAATGGCCGGTAGTATAAAGTTTAAAAATATTATTGTAATATAAAATGTATTAAATATTTATATATATAAATTACAAATTATATTTTTACTATATATTGTTAATCGATTACGATTAAAATTCTATTTTGAGATAAAATAGTCGAAATTAAAAATTAAACAATACTACATTTCCTTTAAACGTTTAAGTCGGGACGTCCTGAAAACATTTTTCGGAACACCGGGACACGAAGTCCAAAATATATAAGAAAAGCGTTTACGTTAAGAAAATAGTCAACGATAACCGTAATAATGAAAAATAATTTTAAGTTTGTACTGATATTGCGGTGTTAAATATTATATATTTTATTAGTGTAGTCATGATAAAATAAATATATATATATATATTATTAAATAATATTAAATATATAAATAAATAAATTTATTTTATCATGAGTGTAGTTATCTATCCCAATACACCACATGCAGCCCCTGCTATTCGCCATCATCACGCGTTACCCACCGACATGTAGTAATACAGTGCATGCACATAAAATAGTTAAATATATTAGAAACAATAAATCCTCAATAAATTAAAATTAATCATCGTTATTTTTACTATTTTCTAAAAACGGGACCTTTTAAGTGTCACAAAGATTCCCTGAGGGACAACGAGACTTATGGTCACCTTAGATATACACATATTAATGTATTATCACAGTGTTCTGTGGTATTATTAATTATATATTATATTTTATATTTATCTATGTTTTAAATATTCGTCAGTAATTGTTATTGTCACTTTTAATTTGTATAATGAGCACGGAAAAAACTTAACTCTGGATTTTAGAATATCACTAAAAATTAATTTAATATGAAACATAATTTTATTCCTGCTTGCTGGACACACTAATATTTTCTCCTAAAACATTATCTTTTCTATGAACATGGCGGACTGATTTTGACATCGGCCTATACTGTCCGTGTTATTTCATATCAGTCTTCTTTCTGATATCTTATTTATTTATATATATATATTTCCATTTCTTTTTTTCGTCTCATTATAATTCACCATATAATTAATATTCATAAAAATCACCTGACATTACTGAACATTTTTAATGATAACGGTATTTGACGTCGACTGTGTTCGAGTAAATGTATTTTAACACCAATATATATTTTCGTTTCTTCTTGAACACTGAACTCATTACAATACATCCGTGGTGTTGAGCACTGAGCGCGTCACATCTTACATTTAAATTCGGTTTTCCGTACTGTGTTCTGCAAGATTTAATCAGCGTCCCTTAAACTGTAAGTAAAATAATTACAATACATACCTACGCGTTGTACCATGTAGACATTATTGTGTGTAATTTTAATTTGTATTTGTTGATGTGTTCATTTTTACAACAAATGTAACATTTTGTATAGAAAACCTTTGATACCGAGGATAAGGCATTCATGGGAGGATTATTTTGCCCCAGGCCCTATCGTTGGAATATTTTTTAGGGGGCCCCCATGAAATCTTAATGTATAATGATTATTAAAAAAGCGTGTTGGCGATTAAAGTGAACGTATAGCGACTTGTCCGATTACATCGAGCAATTAAATTATAAATAATATGAACAATATTCAATTTTATTATGTAAATGAGTAATGCAGTACATGAATTTAAATGAGCTTGATTGGTTAAGGTTTGGAAAAATACGTTTACAAGAATTTTGTTATTCTCAGTGAGTATTTTATTTATCATATCTTATTATTATGGTCGAAGGGTCTCTGAATTAGTTTGCCCCTGGCCCCAAAAAATCTTGGAATGCCTTGACCGAGGATGTTCGAACGTTGAAACCATAGACCTATGAATGAATTGATTAATTTATTTATTAGTTAATAGGTCTATGGGGTTGAAACAAACTGGATATTATAAATTTTAAGTGTTAAAATGTCAGTATTTTAAATTTGTCGCTTTTTTTTCATACTAATTGAAACTTTTCCAGTTCAAGTGTTTTAAATATTCCTTGGGTTAATTATAAATAAGGCTCGAATTTTAAATAAAATATAGAAATATAATTTTAATACACAAATTAATTTCATGTCATTCTGATTCTCAATAAACCAATTTTTTTTTAATATAAATGCTTTTTTATTGCTCTTATACAATTATTCCAGCTAGGGAATTTTAATATTTTCATTATGCTATAAAAAAAAAATTTAAATAATAAGAAACGTAAAAACATTCTTCTTAGTTATGTATTACAGTAGGTACAGTTCTCAATCTATGTCAAATACTGAATATGGACTATGGTTATCAAGTTATTTTTGTTTCCATTTATCGGTTTGATTATAAAATATATTAAACATTTGGTTAATCATAATATTATCATCAATAGTTACCGATTTATAATCAGTATGCCTATAACATGGACCATTTCAATTATTAACAATTTAAGGTAAATTTATTCTTTCAAAAAACTAGATACAATTATAACACATTAACAATATACTGATATTTCATCTAATATTGATTATCATAGATTTTATTTAAGCAAAACAACTTGTATGTAATATGCATCAATCACATCAGTGAATGTAGAGTGTATGTTTTTGGTGTATAAAAAAATGTTGTCTGATAACAGAGTCAGTTTCATTAACAAAAATCTAACTATATACCAGTTAATTAATTTTTTTTTTATTAATTTCATACCTAATTAAAGTTAATTTTTTTTTTGTTACTTATTGTGCTTTAAAATTTGAGTCCTAGTTATAAATAACAAAATAATAAGTACTTTATATTTCAGGAATTAAAATTTAATTTAATGTTATGTATAGCAGTTTTCTAAAATGGGTCAGTATATGAGCTCAAATGGCAATAACAGGACACATGATGAACTCGTAAACTTTTTGGTTAAACACCAATTTGTACGCACTGATAAGGTAGAAAAAGTTCTAAGAGGTGTCGATCGAAAGCTGTATTTTACTGATGAAGAAAAACATCATGCTTATAGAGACATGGCTTGGCAATCTCAACTAATTCATTTATCTGCACCAAGCGTTTATGCTTCAGTCTTAGAAAATTTAGAATTACAACAAGGTAATACCTTTTTAAACATTGGTTCTGGAATTGGGTATTTCAGTACTGTTGCTGGCCTTTTATTAGGTAAGTAGTGAATATATGACATAATTCTGATATTAATTATATTTTAATCAAATCAGTTGATTTGGAAATAATCATTTTTTTTAGTTCAAATTGATTTAATTTTTTAATTTTTTCTAGGTACAAATGGTGTTAATCATGGTATTGAAATCAATCAGTTATTAGTAGACCAAGCAAACCAAAAATTGGAAGAATTTAAATTAAATGCTGCAGCAATTGATCATTATGAGTTTTGTGAACCAGTCTTTATCCAAGGTACATTTTATATTATTAATAAATTGGTTGGACATTTTTATTTTTAAGTATATTTACCAATTAAAAAAACTAATGCGAGTATATCATATTTTTATTGAAATAAGTTTTTTAAATATTTTTTGAAATTCTGATATATTTTAAGGCCAGTTGAACTTGGTTAATTCAAAGTTAGAGAGACTAGTCAAAAAGTTCTAGTAATTCAAGAAAAATAAAAAATAGAAAGTGTAACTTCCATTTAAAAAACTTCTTTTTAACAAAATTATCTATTTAACAAATGCCTTTATATTGCCTTTTTTTCCCCATTAGACATCATTATATAGAAGTTTCACTGTAGTTTAAAAATAATAGTTACATTTTTATTTTAAGTAAGATGTATACACATTATTTTTATATTATTTATAAACCATTAATTAACTATACATATTACTTATTAACTTACCAATTTTATTATTAAAAAAAAAAAAAAAAAAAAAAGATAATCTTATTTTATTATTTTTGTTATTGATCATATATACAGTGAATTATTTTTATTTTATATCTAATAATGGTCATTATTGATTTATTGACTGCTTATTGGTTTTCAATTCATGAAATTTCCTGTGCTTAAACTGATATTGGAAAAAGGATATAGGTATTCAATACTTTTTCATTGGATGAATGATAAATACTTGTTAAAAATACCAAAATAATTCTGCCTTTTAAATCCACAAACACTTCCAAGTTGTTATCAGATATGACAAAGTCATCGAAAAACAAAACAAAAAAAAAAAAAAAATGATTCCATTTACTTCCTATTTTGTAGCTTTTATTTCTTCATTTTAACTAGTTGGATAAGTCCCTAATAAATATGTTCCTATCATATTTAAGACTTGGCCCTTACTCAGTACCCATTATAATATTAAATTTTTACCTGATACCCAGTGTAATATTTACATTTTTACTCAACTCATTGGCAAAGTTTGATAATATGTACATAAATATATGCATATGTATATTTAATAAAACGAGAAAAATCTAAAACTCTAAAGTAATAAATTATAATTTATTTTAGAATAAATGGAACTAATTTACAATAGCCAGTTTACTGTAAACAAATTGCGTTTTCCCTCTATGTTACAAAAATAAATCTTGTGTTTATTAGTAAATTATTTGATAACAATCTATATTCAAAACGCATTTTACAATGGGAATGGGAAATATGATTCAGTTAAATTAATGATTCTAATAATTCAGTTTAATTTATTGAATCGATTCTTTTATTTCTTTACATTACATGTGAAAATAAATATTTATCTATAAATTATTGATTCAGGGAATGCATGTGAGCTATCGCCAACAGGTTTCTATGATAGAGTATATTGTGGAGCTGGTGTACCACCTGAAGAATCTAATTTTATGAAGTCTCTTATTAAGGTACGACAACTGTTCATGCATGAACATTTTTTGTGTTATGAAATTAATATTGAGTACATTTTTATGTGTTTTTAGGTTGGTGGAATATTAGTTATGCCATTAGATGGAACTCTTATAAAAGTAAAAAGGACAGGTGAACACACTTGGCAAAACTATGAGGCATTAGAAGTTTTATTTACAAACCTTATTGTGCCTGAAAAATGTAGTTTTAATACAATACAATTCCGTAAGTATTACGTATTATTAAATTGGAACAAATTTAATTTCTGTACATATTTATTGTGTAAGATTTTACTAGTGGACAGTGTTGTATTACCAATTAGACACATTAAACACTAGGCTATTTGCCTCAAGTTTTTTTAATAATACATAGTAAGAATGACAATTTTAGTACACTTTTTCCTGTAAATTCCAGTTTTTTTTTTAATAAATACTAGAATAACTAGTTCAATAAAATTGGTTTGGGTTATTTTAATACAGTTGCAGTAGAGCCTCTCTAATCCGTCACCTTCAGGATTGGGGGGTATGGTTGGAACGTGAAAAAGGTCGGATTATCAAAATATAAAGAAACATCAAATTTTGAAGACAAAACGTTACCAAATTTATTTCTTTAATTATTTTTAATTACACACACACATATATATATATATATATATATATATTAAATAAATAATTAAATAATAAAATAAATAACAAATTGATAAATAGTAAACAGGCAATTCAAATAATTTTATAAATATATCTAGCCACCATAGGCGCAATTAGACCAATAATTTTTGGGGTGCACAAATAGTGAAGAGCTCATAGACAAATGGGGCAAAGCCCTCACAACCCCAAACCACTAATATAATTACTCTCCACATTATACTTATGAAAAAATAACTACTAATAATTATTTTAATATAAATACTTTGTTTTAATATTTATAATACAATTTATTTAACAAAATTAAATAATTAGATTTACCTACCTACCTACCTATTTTAACATTATTTTCCCCCTCAGCTACCAAAGTCTGAACACGCCTATGCATTAGATATTATACAATTTGTCTATACAGACATATCGTATATATTTATATATATTATATAGCTGGGTCCCTGGATACATAATAGGTACTTATTTTTCTCTATATACATTATGGTACCTACATTTTTTTTGGAAAAAGTCTTATATTTTTTGGGTGTGCACAAGTCCCCTGTGCATCCCCCTAGTTGCGCCAATGCTAGCCACATACTATAAATTGGAAAATCCATATTCATATTGATAATACTATAGTTGGATCAAACGGAGTGGTGGACTAGCTGAGGGCGAACGAGAAGGGTTTTACTGTACCTTTATAAATTATTGGGAAGAAAATTTTTATTTGCAATCGATCAAAAAGTTATTAAACTGTTTATAAATCTCCATTAGTTTAATTTGCTTTTATTAGTGTATAAATAATTTAATGTTTCTGTTTTTATGGATTAAAGTAAAAATGATTTATATTGTTAGTTCTTAAACAATACATTAAGTAAATTATATAGGGTTAAAAAATTAATTTGTGATTGAATTTTTTTATGTTTAAATTGTTTGTTAATTCTAATTTAATTTTTCAGCTGCTGTTGTACCTTTAAGCTTACAAGAATTGTGTAGATCTAATATCCGATCATTATTACGTGAAAACTTACAAAAAAGTTTTCCTGATTTGATATGTCGTACTAAAATTGATTTAAATACTAATTCTGAAGAAAATCAACACCCAAATCCTCAAGAACAATTAGTACAGCTTATTCGTGTTCAGTGTGGCTTGAATGTAGAAGATCGCCGCTTAAATGTAGAAGGTTTAGTAGGTTTACGAAGTCTTTTTGAAACATTTTCTAGATTGGATGAGACCATGTCAGATGATACTAATTCTGTGCCAGATAATGAACTCAATGAATCATTGAACTCCATGGATGAATTAGATGTAAGCACTGACAGTAATGACAGTTTTTGTGAATACAGGAAATCTGTGTTGCTGGATCATCATGAGAAATTATCTGATGAAACATCTAAAAGGAAATCACCTGAAGCTGGGTGTTCTGAATCATCTAGAACAATGGAAGAAACAGAAAACTCAAAGAGAATGAAAATGAATTTAGCGTCCACTCCCAGTTGTGCTGACGATTCATCTGCATTAACATTTAGTGATGCTAGTGATTTATGGGATACTTATTCTAGTACATCTGAGTCTTCATTAGCTAGTAATGATAGTTTTTTACCAGCTACAGAAATCATAGAACAAATGTATGCAGAAGAAGAGACTTTCAGTGATTTTTTTGAGCATTATCAAAATATAACTCGTAATAACGCTAATAATGGTGGAGAATCTTCAAATGAATTGGACAAGTTTAAATTTATAAGAGATTGCAAAGAAAATGAACTAAGCAAACTTTTAAAGGATAAAATTGATTCATTACCAATACCAGTTCCACTTAAACATTTTCTCAACTACTATAGAATTTATTAATTGTTAAAAGACATTCGTTTATTAAGTGTATATTATTTTCATTCTATTATTTACTTGTTTATGTTAATTTTTTTTTATGTATATATTATATTATAAACTTAATATTTTTTTTTTTTTTTTTAATTCATTTTTTTTACTGTATTAAGCTATATAATGAAGTGTATATTATTATTATGTCTTTAGTAATTTTTCATTTAGAACTATTTATTGTTATAAACAGGGCACTTCAGTCATTTGTGAAAACTAAAATTCCTTCAGAAGTAAGTTTAATTTAATAAGTTTAAATGTATAGAATATATTATAATTTCTGAATTTTTTTTTAAGTTATTGTCATTCGGCATTCATTTTATTTTATTTACAATAATTTTTGGCTATTTAAGAATATTATATCTATTTAATGATAATTAATAATAACAAAGGTGTTATTTAATATACAAGTTCAATAATTTTTCTCATTAATTATGCTGTTCAGTATGTAAACATATGTGACCATCAATAAAGTAATGTACTTTAAATGTTTTTGTGTAAAATTTATTTAATTTGTGTATTTTTTACATTAGACATAAGTAATAATAAATTTGATTATTTGAGCAACTTTATGGGGACGTACCATTTTTTAAAGAGTAATATTTAGATAATTCATATGTCAAGTAAATTTGGGTTGTAGCTCAAGTCAATGTGAATAATAAATTAACATTAGAGGTAGGCAAAATTCATCGATGTTTTAAACACATTTCACACTATATAGACTGGATGTCAGTTGCTGTTGACCAGCGACTGATAATAGCACCAGCAAGTAGTGGCAGTTAACCCGTTCACACTATTGGCTCCTACTTGCCAGTTTGGTATTTTAGATTCAGTAAACATATCTGTGAGTTCTTGTAAAAAAAGAACTAATTAAGTGGCGAGTGAGGTAGATTTTTTTTTAGAAATGCTTAACCGGCATCATCTTTATTAGTTGCGGTATCAACTAATTTATATGACCTAATTTTGCTAGGAATGTCATCTTGAATTTTGAAATTTAATTTATATCAGTGTTTTTTGGCAGCCATTATGCTCGTTCGCTCAACCAATCATGGAATAAATAATTTTGAGCAACATTTGAAAACGCTTTTTGAATGAGTTCAGCTTTTGATGGCATTAACTGACATTCTCAGAAAAGGTGATGTAGCCAGTCAGCACATCTATAGGAAATTTGCCATTACCAATATCATTGAGTTATTTAGAGAATATGTTTCCAGATTGATCATTTTGCAACATGACACATATATTCTTATTTAAATGTAATACCTTGACATGTTTCCACAATTTGGAGGATTTTAAACATGCATTTAGTTCATCATCTTGTGTTGAACGTGGAATCACTGGTAATGTTTGACGAAAATCTGATAATAAAATCATTACGCCACCAAATTGGTTTTCGTTGTTCCGTAAATCTATTAAGGTTCTATTTAAATCTTTAAAGATCAATTTAATTATCTCACAACTCAAATTCAATGTTTTTGCCCGAAGTGATGATACGTAGATCAAATGATTCAACATTATTTTTAGTTTATTTGGGTAGCTGATAATGGTTCAATATTTAAACTATAGATTTTTAAAAATATTTCATGCAACATTAAAATCACATTTTTTAGACAATTTCTTACATGTTAGATCAGTAATGGTCAATGTACATATATACAAGTATTTCCATATACACCTATGCGTGTTTAAACTTAGGGTGGCCGATAGGGCATGTAAGTTTTTTAAGTCTTGAGACCTATTGTTTTTATTTTATTTTTTTGTTAAAATAATAAAAATACATTTAAAACATAAAATAAAAACACATATATAATATAAAAAAATAGGGCCTTCAAAATTTTTCACTCGAGGGCTACATAAAATATCAAAAGCTCTTGCCGAGTATAGATGTTAAGTTCGTGAACGAATAGTTCATTTGAACTATTCACTTTGATGAACTACGCTGAACTGTTTCAGTACCTGTAGCTCAACAGTTCACAATTCGAAAAAAATTGATATTATCAGTGGCGTATTTACGGGGGGAGGGGGTCCAGGGGTACTGGACCCCCCCCCAGAACCACTCCAAAAAATAAAAAATTAACAACAATTCAACAATTTTTACATATTTACAGAATTGGGTATGTTAAACATTTACAGGGAAGTTGAAATTACTGTTGATGAAGTGATAGAGGAGTTGGCCAAAAAATCGAGACAACTAGAATTTATTTTATAACAATACTTTATAATATATAATGCTAAAAACAATATATAGGTACATATATATAATATAACATAAGACTATACGATTATTACATTATATATTTAATTCAACTTCCTCCAAAAACTGCATAAGGACGTAACTATTACAATATAATACATAGTTTATATTAATTATGTATAAACTGTGGACCCCCTCAGAAAAAATTGAAAATACGCCACTGGATAGCATTGTATAAATGAAATAGTTCGCGAACTTCTTTAAAAATTTTCTATGGTTCGTTGTTCGAAATCCTGTAAATGGTATACATCTGTTTACAATTAAATAACAAATACTTAATTGCCCATAAGTAGTGTGAACTACTACTGTACTAATAGTGATAAAACGAATAGTTGATTGCCAAACAATATCTGTATAATCAATAAAATTAGTGAACTACGTGAACTTAAGAATGGTTCATTTGAACTATTCACTTGAATGAACTATGAACTACTCACAGATATGAACTAAACTTTCCATCTACTGCCGAGCCAAAATATATGAAGGCATATTATTATGCAAACTAATACAATAAGTACCTAATACCTATAGCTAAATTAGCTAAGCCGGTATGGATATTACATAGACATCTAATGTAGGGTTGCCATTCGTCCCGATTTCGCCGGGACACTACCGGTTTTTACTACAGAGTCCCGATATTTTTCATTTCCCGGCCGGGACGTGGATAAGTACCGGTTTCTTAAAATAAGTCCCGAATTGTTCACATGTGAATAACAAACAATAAATAATTGTCGGAAACTTCCGAGATAGCCGAGGACCGATAATTTTACCGATAAAGTTTCATAACGACATAGCGTATACAATTTATAGAAATAACGATTAGTCGTATATTATAGTCATATATTAGTCTTCACTCTTCAGTCATTCGTATTTAGTATTAAATTACTTTGCTGTGTTCTGTGTTGTAGTTACTAATTTTTATTTTTATGCTATTCTACGTATTATTATTTTAAACATCATGGCTCCAAAACGATTATGCAGCTTCACTGACAAACTCCAAAATGAATTTCCATTCATTAAAAAGGTAAAAACCGACAATAATTTTGATGTGCAATGTACTGTATGTTTGAGTACATTTTCAGTTAGCCATGGAGGGAAAACTGATATAACATATCATATGAAATCCAATAAACATAAAATAGCACAAAAGGCTGCATTGACATCTGGCAAATTAAATAATTTTTTTACACCATTAAAAGCTAATGACAAATCATTGAAATTAGTGGCCAAAGAAATAACCTTAGCTTTTCATACTGTTATGCATAATCATAGCTTTAACTCAATGACTTGTACAACAGATCTTATTCGTCTTTTATTTAATGAAAAAAAATTTACTTGTGCTAAAACTAAAACCCGTGACCTAATAGTAAATATTTTAGCTCCTTTCGCAATGGAGAATACTATTGAAGGTTTAAAAAAAGCTAATTATATTTCTGTGCTTGTTGATGCCTCAAATCATAAGTCCGTAAAATTAGTTCCTGTAATTGTTAGATACTTTAATCCAGAGAATGGGATTAAAAATGATATTTTGGACTTTTCGAGCTTACCCGGAGAAATTGCCGAGTTAATTCACAATAAAATTGTAAGTGTTTGAAAAAATTTGAATTCGAAGAAAAAATAATAAGCTTCTCTGGAGATAATGCTAACACAAACTTTGGCGGTATTGCTAGAAAGGCAAAAATAATGTATTTTTAAAATTAAAAAATATATTAAAGCGTAATATTTTGGGATTAGGTTGCTGCGCACACGTAATACATAACAGTATTCAGTATGCTGCGGATAGTCTTCCTATTGATATTGAAATAATAGTTTGTAAAATATTTGGATATTTCCATATTTATACCGTACGTGTTTCAACATTAAAAGAATTCTGTTCGTTTGTTGATGTTCAGTATAAAGAAATATTATCACTCCAAAACAAGATGGTTATCGTTATATCCGGCAATTGAAAGAATAATAGAAATATTTAGTGCACTCAAATCGTATTTTTTATCTCAAAATAACTGTCCAAACATTTTGAAAACATTTTTTAAAAATGAAACTTCTATTTTATGGCTTAACTTCTTACAAAGTCAATTGAAAACTATAAATATATACATTAAAATAATTGAAAATCAAAAGCTTTGCGCGGTGGAACTTATACTAATTATGGAAAAATTAACTACGAAATTAAAAAATAAAAAAGATGATTTTTTTTTTACCAAGTGATATCGAAGCATTACTTGTTCATCTAGAAGAAAGTGGTGAAATAATTAAATCAGAGTTTAAAGAAACGTGTACTAAATTTTATGACTTATGCATAAATTATATAACAGATTGGACTGCTTCAAATCAACATATACCAGAATTAAATTCATTAACATGGGTTTGTTTGTCCAACTAAGATGAAATAAATTGGTCCAACAAAGATGAAATAAATTGGTCCAACATAAAGCCATCTATTTCTTTTCTAAAATTAAATTTTAATATTACTTTAAACGAGGAAGAACTGTATGAACAATTTAAAATTTTTGAACAATTTTTAAGAAATAAAACCGATGAATGGCAATGCAAAACATCTGAAGAAAAATGGCTGTCAATTTTTAAATCATTTAAAGAGAATAATATTGATTATTCTATGTTATTAAAAATTGTAGAATTTGCATTTGCATTGCCTGAATCTAACGCTGCAGTGGAAAGAATATTTTCATTGATGAACAGTTGTTGGACAAAGTCACGAGGTAATTTATGCATCAATACAGTAGAAGCTACTTTAGTCATTAAGACTAATTTTGAAAATAAATCGTGCCAACAATTTTATGAAGACATTTTGAAAAAGATTTGCTCATTCGAGTTCATAAAACTGCAAAATATTCAACAACAAATCAAAAATCAGAAACGGAAGCTTCTGGATCTCAAACATGAAAAAATTCGAAAAATGAAGTTAGATGAAATCGATGATGAATAATGATGCATATTTAAACAATACACATATTAGTAAATAAGTAAGACCACTCTGTTTTAAATTAAAAATTGTGTACCTAATTAATTTTTTTAGATAATTTAAAATTATATTTATGAATAAGATAATAATAATACATTTATTACATTTTGTGCTGTTTCTAATTTTTGACTTTTTTATTTATTATAAATATAATATAATAAAAATATTAAATAACGTTGGACTAAAAAAAGTTTTATTAAAAATTCCAAAGAATGTGTTGTGGGGGGGGGGGGTTATTATAGTGTCCCGACTTGTATTTTTGTATAAATGGCAACCCTAATCTAATGATTTAGCTGGAGTTCAATACTAAAGTAAAATATAATATCTATACTATACGATTAACGTGATAAAATTAAATACCTACTAATAAACACTAAAATGTTATGAAGTGATTTGAAAATGTAATACAGCCCGCCAGTTGCCCGTCACCGCTCTTTACTATAGAGTCTATAGGTCATACAGTGTTATGAATCTATTCTTTCATTTTTTTATCATCTCATTGATCGGACTATTCCAAACAATTGCCAACAACATTATGAACTGTATCAACAAAATTAAATTTTCTTAAACGTGGAATCTATTGATAATAAAATACACATACGAGACCGTATCCGTTAATATGGATCATGTACAGAAAGACAGTATATTATTTGTTTACATAAGATAGCAAAACAACGTGACATTTAGTATTTTAAATATAAATTAAATAAAGATTACAATTTAAAATCGTTTATAATTTTACATTGAAAAAATTTGGTTAAAAATAAAGAGTAATAATTTTAGTAAAAGAGATTGTTATTTATTTAAAATAAAAATCGACAAATTAACCTTGAGTTGAGGTTTTTTTTTTAACGTTCTTTAGTTATTTACTAGGTACTATTAAAAAGATATTGAATGAGAATATTATTTTCTATTATTTCTTTGTTGGCATTTTATTATAAAATTGTAATATAATACGTTTTTTACGTTAGACGGCGCACCGCATAGGCAATTCATAGGATTTTTTTGATTATTATTTTGCATTTTGGTTAAATTTAGTGGGCGATTTCATATGTGGATATTAATTTATTGACGAGTACATTGTTATTAAATATTGGTTATAAATTTATTAGAGAACTTTCTACAAGTTATTTTTAAATTATGTCCACATTTAACATAAATTCAATAGTTGAACAATAAAATTAATAAAAAATAAACAATAAAAGAGCAATTGTAGACCAAAAACAGATTTACATTTACTAGGTTAAATTTACTGTCTCTTTAAAATAGCCATCCCTCCTGAATCCTCATCTGCTCAAATAACTATCAAATATGTCTACAATTAATAAAAATGGTTTTGAAATTTGAATTATTATATAAAAAGTGTGTAAATATTACACTTATTTTTTTTTTAAAGATTAATAATTTAATAAAAAAAATTACTGATAATAAATATTAACTTTGAGTTTATACATAAATATTATATTCATATATATATATATATATATTTTAATTTTTCATAAATCTAAAAGCGTTCCATATAATTAGCATCCAAGCCAAGGTTACCCACTTCCTCTATCACCAATATCTGGTTCTGAGTGAATGGTAAAAATTGATATAAGCCTAAGAAAAACTAAGTATGTTAACAGAAGAGTAAATCAAGATTCAAAATTGATATAAGGATTACGTAAAACATTTATTATTATTAATTTATAAATTTATAAATTATAAATATTAAGACTAAGGTATATTAATATTCACGCATTTGGGAACAATAAATCGATATTAATAGTGTATAAGAAACCATCAATTACTAAAATCAAATAATAACAGTGCATTATTCTTAGAGTACAATATTTTTTCTTAAAACAAGTCTTCATTACAATAGCTACATACACTAACACAAATATAAATTGTGATTTATTGGCAAGAGTAAGATAAAAACAAAATATAGTATTGAAAGAAAAAAAAATTATAATAAAACATTAAAACTTAGGAACAAAAATTTGATAATTTAGTCTTTTCACCAATGTTAATCGATTTACTAATAGTGTATGAAAGATCATCAGGATAAAGTTGAGCCAAGTCATTTATAGGCACAAAAGCGTATAACTCATGACTATAATGCTTGAAAAACTTGCCAATGATTTTGAAATTGTAATCGTATGGTTTCAGCTGTCTCTGCAATTTTTCTGTAAAATAATTTGAATGATGAATCAATCATCAATTTAGAAAATTTAAATTTAAGAACACAAACAATAATTTGATAAGAAAATGTAGTTGTTCAATAAAAAAAGTATTAAAAGACAAAAAAATAACTATATATTATATTTAGTATTATCAATTGTCCTTATTATTGTTTTTTATAATACCAAGTTGATTTATTATATAATAAGATCACCGTCCATGGTATTTCATAATATGTTAAATCCAAAAAAAAAAAAAACTAATAAAAATAAATATAGTATTTACGGGGAAAAAAATCATTTAAAAATAATAAAGTAGTTAAAAAAAAGTGTAAAATTTAAAATTTTTTTTCGTAACATTTTAGTTTATCATACCATATCTGCCTTCCCGTATAGTTTTGATGATAGGGTTTTGATCTTTAGCTCTATCGAAATAATCAGGTTTGATAAGCACATGATACACAGTTGGATTTGGCAATGGGTTGTTACTGGGCACTCTAGTCCAGCCAACAATGACACCACGTTTAGTCACAATATTAGCACAATTACCGCCATTGCCCTTTATAACTGTTTCAATCATCATACCAACAGAATATTTTGGATCATGCTCCATACCACGTTTTTTTGGTATCAAAGGAAAAATTTCTTCCCACTGATTGTTAAAATAAGTAAAATATTAAATATTATAGTTATGATAGTAATTGTATTATTTATAATCACTTACGTCAGGATACAGAATGTTCTTCTCATTAACATGGTGCGGTGCCTAAAAAAAATATGTAAAATAATGATGTTTTAAAAATATTATAAATAAAAATAGCTATTACATTTTATAATATTACTGTGTATGATATAGTGAATTTATTCATGCTTAAAATTATATTCTAAATTGCACAATGAAAAAATAGCCTTGGAATACTCACAAAAGGGTGACATTCATTTCTGAGTAAAGGGCATTGACAGTAATCATATAAATCATAGAATTTTGCATATTTAAATTCAACTTCTGAATCATTGGGTTTAAGAATTTTTTGGAATTCTAACACATATTTAAGTGTAGTTATATAGTCAGTAGTCAAGTTTTCCACAATTTTACAAAATGTCCAAAATAACTACAAACATAAAATAAAATACTGTTATTAGTGGTTAAGTATATTTTTTTCTGATTGACTAATGTATTATAACAAAAGAATATTTAGATTTTTTTAACTTTGATGATAACACTACTAGCTTACTATGTTTATAAAACCTACAGTTTGTTTCATTAACAAATTATATATAATTAGCAACAAATGGTAAAATAAATATCATAAGATTAATCAGAGAATAAATAAATCAAATTTAATTTTCAATGTATGAAAAGAATGATCTTTTAAAAAAATAGGTATTTTATGAAAATAGAGTGGCAGAATAATTCTCAATATTTATAATTATCTGAAAATTAGTATTATTTGGCTTAAAATACAAAATTGATGTAATATATAGGTACGTATTGATGATAGTTGCCAACATGTAGTCCTATTGTAAGTACTTAACAATAAAAGTTACTTTCGATTTCACATAAAAACATTAGATATTTTAAATTACATAACATTTAAACATATATCTACATAATTATTGTACTATTTAAGTTGTTTAATAATATAATTTATTTGCTTATTGTTTTTTAATATAAAATTCTACTCTATACACAATACAATTAGGAAAATTATAATTTAAATACTTATATGATAATTGGTGGTAAGAAATTGTGTATTATCTACTAAACATAATTTCATAAATAAAAATGTTGAATAACCTCAGTTTTGGAGTAATGTTAAATACTTTATAAAAGACCAGAGAAAAGGAAAGAAGCGTTTGTGGTATGGTAAAAAGATTATTGAAACACTTAAAATATAAATTAAAAACCATTTTTAAAAATAATTAAATTTATTATTTAAGATAAATGTAGAAATATAAATTTCAGTAATAAGAACAATTATGTTATCAACCCATTAAAAATGAAACAAAAAATTACAATTAAATTATGGTACAACTTTTAACTCCATGATGCATGAGCTTGATTTATATGTTACTAATACAGGATGATATATTTTAGTCAAAACTAGAGATAAAACAAAATTACACATAATTATATAATAATACCTCACCAATAGTTGATTGCTAATTTGTATCAATTAGAAAATTAATATGAATTATGGGCTATATAAACATGGATATGAACCAAAATATAATCAATTAGTCAATGAGAATAAACATTCCTTTAATAATTTATATTCTAGATGGAAATGTAAATTAAATGGATAACAATACAACAAGATAACAAATATATATTATATAGATAACAATTGATCAACATTTTATAATTGGAAAAAAAAATTAAAACCAATATTAACATGCAAGGATTGAGATTATAATTATAAATTTATATTTTTTTTAATACAACTTTAATAAATATTTGAATTAATATTGTGATTTAAGTTTTAACCTATAATTTTTATTTTTGTAATACTTTATGAAATAGTCATGAAAAAGTTGGATCATTGATAAACATATTTGAGAAAAAGGTTAATAACTCAGTGAATTCAGGATTTTCTTTTGGGAGGTAGTTTTGAATATTTTCCCTGGATATTGAAAATTATCGATCTTAATTGCATATTTTTCCTGATTTGGGGGGGGGGGTTAACTCCCAAACCCCCTACCTGGATCTACCACTGAAGTAATTATTGAAGATTTCTAATGCATCTTATACAGATAGTAATTACAATATTATTTAACTAAGATTTCATAATAGTTATATGTACTAATTGTCATTGGTTTTTATAATTCATTTATATTTATACTTAATAATTATGTTTCGAGTATAATTTATATTATATGCTTGAAATATATTTGAATAAAGGATAACTTTATAGTTTTATGTCAGAATAACAAATACTAAATACTAATTTCTGTCTTTAGAAATATGTTTATTTGTTTAATTACAATCTATACATATTTTTGTACAATAAATTAATTAGTGCAAATAATAGTTTTGAAGAGGCTTGTGGAAAAACTCTCAGTAGTCACCTTTAAAGATACTAAATAAAAAAAAAACAAAAAAAAAAAAATATATATAGATATTACTTCAAAAAATATTAAAAAAAAAAAAAAAAAAAAAAAATGATTTCAAGTAATTATTTATAAATCAATGTTAATTAATGAATAATTTTATTTTAAAAGAAGTAAAAAATATTATACAATTTTTTAGGAATAATTTATAAAGCTAAAAATACATTTTAATTTTATACTATCAATTCAATTAAAATATATGAAAGTAAAAAATATATTTTGAAGATGATTTTCCTCATTTATGTTTAGTACCATTAAACTTGTGATATTTAAACTGAGTATTAATAATCAATTTTGTAGTCTATAGCAGTGGTTTTCAACTTGGGGGTTGAAAAAGATATTTTGGGGACCCCAAAAATAATAATTAAATGGTTATTCATAAAAAAATGTTTTATTTTAAAAATTTATCTAACTATCATAAATGTACAAAAACATATCAAATAAAATAGCAAGTAGTGTAATTTTTTCCTGATGGATAATTAATGATTGTGGTCACAGATTTTTATTGGTATGTCATTTAATATTTGGTTATATTTATATTCATATTCTATATGAGTATTTTAACAATTTTAGTAACAAATATAATATTTAATAATTAGTATAATTAAAAAACCAGACTTAAGAGTACCAGTTTTTAATATAAAATCCAAGCACAAGTTTCTCATTAAAACAAGAAAATTGCTAATATAAATTTTTATATTGTTTATTTATTTTTAAATTTTTTTCATGTTCTATCATTTATTAATTGTAGATATTGCATAAAAATAAAATAAAAATTGTGTGCCGTGATTCGAAAAAGGTCAAAAACCACTGGTTTATAATATAAATAAATGTGATTATTTAACTTAAATATTCTCTAAAAAAAAAATTCCAAGGTCTATAATAATAATTAGAAGTATTCCAGATTTAAATTGTAAAAATTAAAATAAAATTGAAACCTATCCAAAAATGTATTTTAACTCATTTATTATGTACACCGAATATCAGAAACATATTCTATAACTACAATTTTTTTTTATAGTTTAGTACATTTTAAATCCTATAATAATGTTTAATATTATTTTCTGATAAACATATTTAAAAAAAAAAAAAATGGTATTTAAGTAAATTTTTACTTACAAATTATAAGCTCATTTATATGTACATACTTGACTTAAAGCAGTAAAATTAATCAAATACATCATACTCATAATGAGATATAAGATTACATTTTAAATGAAATTATTTGTTATAAATGTTATACAGATAATATTAAGTTCTTATTTATGTAAACGATAATATGAATGCAATGTATTAAATTAAACTTGATAAATTAAAATATCCAAGGATTAAGACTTTTGAGTAAAAACTTACATCAGGTGATGAATTTCCATTATATTGTTCAGGCAATTTTCTAGATACTGGGCAAACTGTAGCTTTTCGCATGATACCACCACCAGCAATATCTATCAAATAGCATGTTGAATTCTTAAGTTTATTTCCAGGCCATGAAGATGACCAAGATACAAAATTATGAACAGAAGTTGCAGTTAGTCTGACTTTTACTCCTAATCGCCTAGCAACTGACTCGAATATCACACAGAGCAAAAATACAGAACCCTTATTGCGATCAATAACCTAAGTTTAATAAATTGAAGTGTCAATTATTAATAATAAATAAAATAATTAAAGTAAAAATTTACCGGTTGTAATAAAAAACAATTAATGTCATGAACGCAATAGCACACTCGTTGATTGTCAGCAAATAAAACTTGTCTTAGACAATCAAAAATAATAATTGTATTAGCCTCATCAAATAGATCATGATCCAGATTTGTTTTTCCACGTTCAATTACTGGATTTAAATAATTTTCATGCTCAAATAGTGGATGAGATAAATTTGTTGACCGTATGAGTTTGCATACAGATATAGCTATGTTGTCCAAATTTTTGCCTATAAAAAATGAACCATGATAGATATAAATATTAATTTATTATTAATACACAATAGTGTCATCTTACATATATCACGATAAGGTGTATCAACTGTTGGACACCACCAACGTCCTAGTAAGTAAAATCCTCGTTCAACAATTTGTTCTGCTGGCGGTAAACTTAAGAAATCATTTATCTTATAACCGAAATACACTTGGCATGTATATATGAGAAATTGATGTGCCATAAATAGTAAATCATAATTTTCACTACAACTAAAAGTAAATTAAAATAAATGAAAAATATATAAGTGACATGCTATAAAAATACCATTTATCGATCAGAAGCTGCTTATAATAAGATGTGCAGGCAGATAAGACATAATATCTATGTCCTTGATTTTTTGAGTGCAACTGTTCACTAAATGGATACAAATGATATGGTATATTTTTGAACTTCATGTATCTGCATGGCATTTGTGCAATTTCAATGGGTACAGCTTTCGCCAAACTCATGCGCATCTCAATCTCATTTTTCCAAGTGTTTTGTTCATCGATAATGACTTCGTATTCATCCTTGTCCAACTGACCATACCTAACACAACCGACACATTAGTTAATAACAAAATAAACAATAATTAAATGCAGAATGGTGTAAGAACAAGTGCCAAACGTACTTCTGTATGTATTTAGTCTTCCATAAATGAGAATTTGGTTCACGGAACAGGCAATTGTTCAACTTTGGATGTGAAAGAGACAGGTTGAAGATATCGATCATGTCCAATATGTTGGAGCAGCAAAGGTACTCGATCAGTTCAGCGGGCAAGTCCAGGATGGTAGTTTCATTTAACCGCTTTTCTTCTTGTTGGACGCTTGTCATCGTAGCGTTTAACGAGCAATCAAAATTCCATTCGAAGGTGAAAAAACAATCGCTCACGACTCTCAGGGTTGCAGTTGGCCGCCGAGAGCGAGCGACACTTTTACGCGTTTGGAATATGAAAGACAATACCGCGAGTATGCTTCACTCGCGCAGAACGTTTTCCAATAACGACAAGACCGTCTAGTTATGTTCGACTACCCTAAGTGGCAACTGTTGTAATTTGCAGACCGCATGATACTGTTAAGTACGCTGTTGCGCAAAACAACGCACGGAAAACGATAGCAATATTTACGAATGCGGAGTTGACGAAAATCAATCATAGAACCACTACGCAACTCGGCGAACCCGCTGAACAGTGAACACCGACGCGAGTACGTGATAACTAGAGTGTTGAAGATGGAAAAAATAAAAACAAACAAATAATAAACAAGTTTTCAGATTATTAAATAAAATTTGATAAGTAATAATTGTATTGATAAATGCACTGATGCCATCAAATACGGACGCAGTCACGCAAAAACCTTGTTTTTTTTTTCATTTATTTTACTAATAAATATATATTTATTATACTAAAAAATATTTATTGTTCAATGCAACTTTTTGTATACATACATTTTTTAAAAAATCAACATGCACTTTTTATTTTTTCTTGCTGTTTCATGTTTCGTGAATTTTGCACTACGTATGTTTAAATTAATGTATTATTTTCATTTGAGGATTATGCACTTATACATCATGGATAAATTATAATATATATTATAAAGGATCTTTAATCATTATATGATATTTTTACATGTATATGTTGAAAACTTATAAGTATCTGAATCGACATACATGTTTTAAATGTAACAATCAGATTGTTTTGACGGAAACAAATCATTGGTAAAAACTAAAATATTGGTCCACCAATCGTTTTAGCCATTTGGGGCATAAATTAAATATTTTTAATCTATGTTTGGGGCTACTTAAAAAAATTGATTTCGGCGCAAAATTTATAAATTACAATGTAGATTATACTATTATTAACTTAATAATAGTAATGATAATACAAACGCTCTATTTATATTGAACATTTTGTAAATATATAATAAAAATCAGAATTTAAAATAAGAACCAGGTGTAATCGGTGGATTTCTCACGTACTCGTTTTATGTCAATTGCATATTTAAAAAGTAAAAATTCAAATAAACCATTACAATAAAAAATTATTAAACACAATTTCTTTGTTAAAATGTTGTGTAGAAACTATTTTAAATCATACAAAAATGTTTGCCTTCAAAATAAAAATTAGCTTTGAAAAATGATATTGGTGATTGAAAAAAATAAAAATTAACCAGTTTATTTTACAGCAGATTTTTGTGATGTCGAATCTCAAGGGAAACAGGAAAAAATCGAGTTTTATGAAAATGTTAAAAAAATTAGTAAATAATTTGAATTCTTAAAATACATAATTTGAATAGGTACTTAATATACTAATAATACATACATATCAATGAACTAAAATATTCAATTAATTAATTATTTTAAAAAAAATCTGTATGTTATATTTTTATCTCGGAACTGAATAAACATTTTAACAAACATTTATCAATGTCCAAATAAGGAGTCATTCTTATTTTTTTCTTAAATTCATAATTGAATAACAACATTCTATTTTTCTGATTAATAATTTACAATAATGTAATTTTGATTTGTAATTGGTGGAGTATTGAATTCATTGGCGGTTTTACACTTTTTGAACTAACTGTATTAAACAAATGAACTTATGATTATTGTTGTAAGCATAATAAGCTGTAAATTTGATATTTCAGGTGGTATATGAAGTACATAATCAGAGCCATTCTTAGGGTATATGAGCATACACTAAAAAATATTTCGGAGGGTTTAGGTTGTACATTTTCATATTTGTATAATTTATAAACCACTTAAACTCTATAAAAACATACTAAATAATTTTCCTGAGTTGGGGGGGTATCGATTTCAGATACCAGATTGGTTCCAGGCCCCCTTTGCTTGTAATTTCTGGACCAAGATATACTTGTACATACTTTTATACAATAAAAATATAGTAAATAATGACGAGCTCCGGAGTTCTAACCTTCCGTGCTCCACCCTCTCGCCGGCCCTGTCTGTACTAATACGGTAGACGGCGGGATAACTTCTCGCAATCGAGGCATCTTCCACCAATGACCATAGGCGTAACTAGATCCTTAAGTTAGGGGGCTTCAGCCCTAACATGTATAAAAAAAGTAAAAAAGGTGGGAGGCTCTACCCCCCACATCCTCCAAACTCGTCCCTCAATAAACATTCATTATTTAATTATAATATTATTTTATTAATATACAATGTATAAAATAAATAATAAAAAAGTGATATTGAGGTAAACATTAAAATATTAACATATTTATTAAGTATTATTTTAAATACAAGTTAAATTTTCATAGAAATTAAAAACTTAAAGGAATTTTATAACTATTATAGCTTAAGCCTTCCGTTCAGTATTGGTGAATTTATTTAAAATGTCTTTTTTGTTTAGAATGTTTGACAAATCAATTAAATTTTTTTTGCTTTTAATTGCTATGATTGCTAACTTGGAAAATCGATTTGGTAACATAATCGACCTTATGTAGGTGTTTATTCGACACATTGCTGAGAATGTTCTTTTACATCATGCAGAACTTGATGGAAATGCAAGCGTTAAATGTAGCATTTTGTATAATTTGGAAAACAGATTTTTCAACAATACTCTTCAGCTGCTTTAAATGTTCCTGATTGTTAATGTTTTCCAATTGATTGTCGTAACAATTTTTTGCAACCAACATTTCTGATTTTAAGTCAGTTTTATTAATATTTAATAAAGCCTGAAAACATAAGATGACAAAATCTGACCAATTATAATATCAATAAATAGTATAACCTACATCTCTACATGATTAAATAATTTACCTTATACTGGTTTACAAACATTTCACCTAGTTTATAGTCTAGATTAATGAAGTTATCAATTGATATGGCCAGTTTTAGACTTTCTGGTAAAAATTTGTGTTTCATGTTAACTATAATACTATTAACCACTGGATAAAAAGCATGTTTTTCCAATATTCTTTGGCATTATCCTCATATTGAATACATCCATCATCTGCACCAGTGGTAGTTGTAACATGAAAATCCTTTAATACAGTTGCAATTTTGATTCTGAACCTTTGACAATACCTTTAGACCCACTAAGCTGTAAAATAATTTAATACAAATATATTAGGTACCTAACTATTAAACAAAATAAAATATTTCTCTGTATATATATTTTAACTTACTTTTTTCCAGTTATTAAACCCTTTTGAGGTAAATGTTTCTTCTGAAGGTTTAGTACCAAAAATCCAACAAGGAAAACAATAAACTGAGTCAGTTTCTATGTTATATTCCAGCCAATTAAATTCAGCAAAGTATGATGTAGAAAACCCATGATTTTGGGAACCATAACACTTTTTTGGATACGTCTATAGTTAAAATAACTTATAAATGACTCAAAAATAAAGCAGTTATTTTAAAATGTACTAACACCGCAATATATTTTATGTACCTACTAAACATTCCCTTTATATTTAAATTAATACAAAAAGTAAAATATTTCCTTACTTGAAGTTTTGGCTAAAATGGTCCAGTTTCTATGTTTCCTAAATCTTTAGGACCCATCGAACTTAGTTCATATGAATGTTCTACCGGTTTGGTAACTATGTTAAATATTGTACTATTTAAACTAGAAGCATCTTTAAGGGATAGTATTGCAAATCAAAACTTTTAACTCTTACCTAACTGATAAATTATTATTTTATTAATAAACAAATTGTGACTTGCCATGTGGACTAACAATACTTGATTTCTGTGGTTTCATTTAAAAAAATGTTAAAAAGATCGATTTTCTTCGACATGACAAAGTAAGGTAACTACCACCAAGCGAGGAAAACAACAAGCGCGTAAAATATAAATCCATGATGAACAAGATTAATAAATGTTTAAACTAAACATTCGTACGTTCGGTAAAAAACTGTCACCACACTGACACCGCTATAAATCAAGAAAAATAATATCAACTTTAATCCGAGTACCAACTATTAAACTATCATTTATCAGACACAAGTCACAAACACAGTACACAGAATCATTGTTCTAATGTAGAGAAGGACGAAGATAATATAAAAATCTAGTTCTATTTTTAGCAAAAAACCCCAATATGTGGCCGGCAGACGCAGCGATTAAAGATTATCGCAGAGGCACCATTTGGGGGGGGGGGAGCAGGGTGTGCACATACACACCTTGAATTTTTTTCATATTCAATTATTGGCTATTGGCCTAGGCGTCACTGATACATGGCCTTGCCGCCTTGGCCTTCAGTTTTCCAATGTTTAACATTGTGCATACACCTCGGCTAATCAGCAATCACTGCTAATCATAAATGTTGGCCTGGTGGTGGGAAAAAATTGACCTCTTTAATTGCTTGCACACCCTTAAAAAAACTGAAATGGTGCCACTGGATTGTCGTCTGATCATCGTTACTCGTTAATCGTTATTACAAGTTATTAATAATCGTACGTCTTTTACGACTATTTTTGTGTTTAATTTATTAATAATTTCACAATCATCGTATTACAATGATACGAATAACCAAAAAAAAATAAATATTTTTCCAAGATATTAATTAAAAAAATAAAACGATATTTTAAATTAAAATTAATGTTGAGAGGCTTAGCCCCCCTAGTTACGCCTATGCCAATGATACTCATGGGTACAACTAGAGCTGAAATATTGAGGATGCTGAAATTGCTGAAAATAAAATAAAATTATATTTAACTGTAATTACTATAGATTATATAGATCTAAAAAAAAACAGGAGTGCTACATTTGAATTCAGGGGTGCTAAAAATCGTATTGCGCCTATGATGACGCTTAACAACATGAATGGTTCGTCGGCTAACGCAGTCAATACAAGTTACGCACGTCCCACGTGCTGGACCTGCAGCGCTAAATTCAACTGAGGTTGGATTTGACGAGGTTTATAGTATCGTTCGAGGAATAGAAGGTTAGGTTAGTTCAAAATCAGGCGACCGAACCCGCATCCGTCTCGTATTTGAAGTACGCGCGAGTTCGTCTCGACAACTCAGTATTGGGACTCAAGAACAAACGGAGGGTTCACTTCCCTCGGGGGTGAAGGGCAGTTTCTTTAGATACAAAACAAGATTATAGATACACAATTAAAATGTAGACTTCAACATTTAATTTAGAATCATGTTAAGTATTTTTTCTTTTTTCTTTTTGTATAACAATACTCGAGTTTAGTAGATTGACCTTTCAATTGAATATTCATGTTCATGGATATACGAATAATTACGATTTAAAAACGGGATCTAGAGAAAAAAGCAAGTTCGCCCAAATCAGCGTCTTATATAAATGTTCACTTCAGAGTGCAGTTCCAAATCCCAACGTTATTAACGATATTAGGTAGAAAGTAAAAATCTTCGTAGTCGTGTCCATAGCCAACTATTGTTAAAATGTGTCTTTTTATATTTCTTGATCTTGCAAACCATGGTTTTTTTATGATTTTTACTTATTAATGTCATTATCACGGTCAAGTACTAGAATTGCTGGTTTATTTAAGACTGAAATATGAAGTTATATTTATATGTCTTGTATATTTAGGTACAAATAAAAATCGCGTATTAATAATAAGTTGATATTTTAGTTATTTTATATACCTATTCAGTTCACTGTCGTTTTTTTAAATATAATTTAAAATAACAGACAATAATTAGTTTTTAATACTATAATTTATATAAATAATTACCAAAAATGTATTTTTGATTTGTTATTTTTAAGTATTTAAACAATTCCTATGTATTATGACTACCTAACTCATTATTGTAGGAACATATTAATCATTTAACAAACAATTTAAAATATATTCCTAACATACCTATTTGGAATATTTATTTTTTGTAAAAGTAGTTGCATTAAAATAATAAGGTTTTAAATTAGGTACTTAGCTGAAAACGATTTAACCGAATTAATAATAGAAAAATAAAACTAAATGTTATAAATGTTCATGCAAAATCTTCTTATAATAATATAAAAGATACAATTGATTATAAAAGTACAAATCATTAATAATTGAAGTTATCTGAAAAAAATATACAAGATTTGAGGAAAACATTATTTATACATTATAATTTATTAAAAATACCAACACGTTTTGTTCATATAGAACTCAAAAGTATTATAAGCACCCCCTGAAATATAGACCTGCCCACGCCTATGTACAAAACCCTAAATTGTGTAATCGGTAAAAATGGCTGAGACACGATTGAGCATAAATTGTCGGCGTATCAAAGAAAATTGAAATACAAAAGAAAACCAACACGATTGAGCATAAAAAACTCTGCAACGTTGCCATTTTCAATTTTGAACTGTATTATTGGTACAAAAATATTTATTTAAATAATTATAATAATTCAATATACAACATGGCAAAAAAATATTATATTTTCATAGTCAATAACTGTTGTCCATGTATGCTATTTTGAGAGAAGGTTCGTCAACAATCTACAAACAAATTATTATATTTTAGTAAAAAAGTACTATATTATATAATTATTTCTTACTTTTCTCCACCATGATTGTCCTAAATGAAATCTACATCCAATTATTTTAATATATCCAAACACATCTGTTATTGCTTGATAAGCTCCAATTTCAAAATCAACATGAAATGTGTATATTTGCAAATAACGAACGAACACTGATATTATTTCTATAATAATTTTGGAATTGTATCTTAATTATCTTATATTTTCCCCCGATGCTAAATGTTTAAAAAGTCGTTTTGCTCCGGAACTAATTTATTAATCGATAACATTGTCGATAAAGCTGAGGGGCTCAGCTCACGGCTCGCGTCAGATATAATAATTGATATAATAATAAGTGAAAATAATAAATTACAAAATGTTGGCAACGTGAATGTGGCAACATCGCATAAAATATTCTATGCTCAATCGTGTTGCTAAAAAGGTCTATGCTCAATCGTGCTTTCCCGGTAAAAATATGGACGTACACTGTTTGGGCGAATCGACCTAAAATATAGTCTGGGCTAATAAATATATACCATTTAGGCGAATAGATATATACCGTTTGAGCGAGGATTATTTAACTAAAATACCGTTTGGATGGTATAAAAATGCTTATAATATACACTCAATAATTAATCAAACAAAATTATATAAAATATAAATAATTAATAATAAGTTCTGTTTAAAAAAAATATTGATATGAATATTAATAATATTATTATTTATAAGTTGGAAATAATCTACAGTCAAAAAATTAATAATAAAATAAAATTACAGATAATATAATTATTAGTAGTTTTAAAAGCAATATATTGGTCTGATATTTTAAACCTAAACATTTTATGTATTATAATTCGTTAATATCTTCTCTTTTATATTTATTCCATGTTTCTTGTATAAAATCTCTATAATCATGATGCGTTGATGTCCACGTCGGTCACACTCTTCCCGTTTACTTGGCACAGTAAGTATAAAGACTAATATAATATGTAAAATCAAGTATATTTATATAGATCGGACGATGTAATTTGTTATCGAGAATTGTCGGCGAAATTTATTATATTTTAATCGCTAAATTTATGTGTGAATGTAGACTCGAGATAAGTAATTAAAACATTTTAATTTATCTATGTTATTATAGTTTTGTACTTTATACTAAAAAACTATAGTACAAGGTAGTTCATGCGTATATAAAATATAATATGAATTTATAAGATATAGCTAATTAATTTAAATATATCTTTGTTTTCATTTATTTCTATTACATTAACAAATTAAAATATATGTTAATATATTAATATAAATTTATAAATATGTTAACTGATAAATAAGTTTTTTGCAATGTTTTTAGTTTATGTGAAAGAGTATGCTTTAATTATTTTAGGCGTTCAATTTTATTTAGTATTTTTTATGATTATAAGCTAGAGTATCTACTTCCGAATTATCGAACTTCATAAGATAACTTTACAATCACTAAATCGTCAATAAATAATGATTAAAAAAAATTGCGTTCAATTCGCACTAGTTTTTTTTTTTTTTGCAAAAAATCGCTTCGTATGACAATAATATAATCCCATTTAAATTTCCATACATTTAGAATAATAGGAGTGGATTAGTTTTTTCATGTCTTTTTCATCTTTTTGAGATACTAAATGACAAAAACGTCCGATTTTTTAAACACATTCTGTGATATACCGTATTCATTCTGTTGTTAACTCAAAAGTTAAAAAAATAATTTTTTCTAGTAACATACTAAATAAACAAACGAGTATAATAAATTAAAGAAAAAGTACAAGCTAGTAATAGGATAGACACTAGTTGAATAATTTTTTTTTTACGGAACTCTGTACAGATTCCTACAATTTTGTGTATCTTTATAATATGAATTTCATTTAAAATCCAAATTATTTATTATACTCATTATTTATTCAAATTGATAACTGAGCTCAATAAGGAATAAATAAAAATTATACTGTTATACATTTTAATTTATTTTATAAAACAGTAAAAATAAAATAAAATTTAACTCACAGTTAAATGATTGTATTATTTATGTAATAAACTAAAGTATAGGTCATACAAAATAAATTGGTGCTAAGTTTTGTTTACAATTTGATGGCGGTTAAAGTATAAAAATATAATTATTGGTGCATAACATATGATTTTATAAATTGTAAGTATTATACTTATATTGTTAGGTAATAAATACACTTATATTAGCTTTAAAAATTAGGTAAAGAGTTTAAGTAATTATTATTAATTTATAAATTGCTAAGAGGGATTATTTCTATTTAATTAAAACTTTAATTTTAAAGTGTATTGATCACAGATGCATGCATTGTAATGAAATGTATCTCCGTATTTTATTAGTATTATAATAATGGTAAAATTACAATTCACATCATATTTATTCATATTATTTTTATGAGTCATAGCTCATAGGTGAACTAAATAATATTATTTAGTTCATATGAACTCATTGTAGCGGTTCTACACCAATGCAGTGTAAACAATAATCATGGACCAATAACTTATGTCTACATTTACTTTGGTTTTTATTTGTTTCTCATTCAAATATTGGAAATAAAATGTTATTTTTATAAGATTATTTTAAAAATTTATCTATTAAAATATAATTTATGTATTTAAGCCTTATATGGCTATATGAGAAAGTATACTGTATAGATAATAATATATAACATTAGCTAATTTCTTAAATTTGGTTTACCTAATATTTCTCTCACGTACAGCTTAAATATGTCATTCAAAGGTTTTGCCAATAATAAATAATACATTTTAATTTATTTATCATACAACTCATAAAATATTGATTCAAAAATATAAAGTATAAAAATACTAAGAAGTACTTAATACCTCTGTATGTATAGTATGAAAAATAATATAAATATAATTATATGATAACTATCAAGTGCACAAAAAAATGTTTGATTATAAAATAATAGAAATTTTTATAAAACTTGTCGAACACAGATTAATAGTTTTGTATTCTTTATATGTATAGTATACTTTATATGATTATAATATGTAAAAAATATATTTTTCACCAATTAATACGTTGTTGTCAACAATGTGAGTCGTAAAATTTTAAAATTGGAGGTTAGTCATAAAAGGAGTGGTAAGATTATTTTCAATAAAAATTATAAAAAAATGTTTATTTGCCAATTAAAATATGGTAATCCTAATATAACATAACATAAATATAATAAGCACGCATTGTGCACACAATAAATTATAAACCATGGTAAAAATATTGTATCAACTTTATCTGGTTAAATCATTGGGAATTGTATTCTCAGCCCTCAGGATCTTTAAACAAAAAATATTAGAGACAAAATACAAAAAAATGAACATTTCTTGTTTCATTTAGAGTTTAAACATATATTATTTACTTGTTCACCAGAGGACAAGCCACCTCTTGGCAGTACCTACTCATATAGATATTTTAATTTATAGTATACAATTATAGTCATTTTTACTATCAAGGGAATAATATTTATTCACAAAAGACATTTTATGCTATTGTTCTATTGTCTCTGTGTCATGACCTTTTAAGGCGATATTACTCAATTAGCAATGAGGCAAGAGAAAGAGATATAAATAATAAAATAGAATTCTGATGAAAATTAGATTAATTAAAATTTGTGAAAGTTTTGTAATGGTCAATGGACCTATAACAGTTTAATGATGAGTATGTGCAGGTCATTGTTAATTGTTTCATTAATATGGACGGCGGTGAAAGACGATTGAGCCCGTCCTATCTTTTTACATGAAAAAAACATAACACGATTGCACCCAGTGAAGTAGCTCAATAGCACTCCGTGAAATATAAGGTCTTGCCTTTCTAACAATTTTAAAATATACTATTTAAAAATACGGTCAGTGTGTAAAACTCAAAGTTTAAGTTAGGTTAGATTATCAATTTTCCATCGAGTGTTTATGTTGACAATGATGTGACAAAAGATCTTAGCGTGTTCAATGAACACCATCACCACATAATTTCAGAAAATATAGTAAACAAATAATAAATTGTAAAATAAAAAAAAAATGTGAAAACAACTTCTTTACGAGACCGAATAAAATAATTAGACAAGAACTACGTAGCACAGAAAATTGTCAGTCCTAAGCCTGTAAAATCGGGAAGGAAAATTGTTAAAATGATAATTTAACCTAATTTAAACTTTGAGTTTTACACTCCAAATATATTTTTAAATAGTATATTTGAAAATTGTTAGAAATGCAAGACCTTATATTTCACGGAGCGCTATCGAGCTACTTTGCTGGGCGCAATCGTGTTGCGTTTTTTGCAGGTAAAAAGGTAAAACCTGGTGCTATCGAGCTAATTAGCTGGGCGCAATCGTGTTGTGTTTTTTTCATGTAAAAATGTAGGACGGGCGCAATCGTGTTACAGCCATGTACGGAGAGGTATTTCATAGAAATGTAACGTAAGGTCTTATATTGTAGGTTTGGTTAGGTTAGGTACAAATTATATATATTGCAATTTTATAGAAATGAAAGTTTAAAAGTTATTTTTCTAAATAGGTTAAGAGATGAAATAGGAATTTGATAACAATACATTTTTCAACCATAAAATTACCCTAAAATAAAAATATTGGAAAATACATTTATATTCACTGTAGTAATTTTATCAGGAAAACATGCATTGTCTTTCTATACATTTACCATGATTTATAAATTTATAAGTTTTATAGGCTATGCATGTTTATTATTGTTATATGATACGTTGATATAATCTGAAGAGGGTTTCCTTTCATCCATTGTTTCATGGTATCAAAAAACTTGCCGTCTTCATTATACTTTATTAAGACCATTTCATTTGGAAAAACATTAAAAAATAAGAATTTATTAAATAGATTTAATAACCAATTCGAATCAGATTTCAAAATATTTTTTACACCAAGAGTTTGATCGGTACGTTGGAAATATACAACATTTAAATCCCTATGTTACGCGTATGATACAGAGATTACCGTTTCTAATCCCATCAAACTTTTAATAATTATTTATTTTAACATTCATTAGTTATGAACGTACATTTGTATAAGTACTAAAAAAATATGCACATTTGAGAAACAGTGAAGATACTCATTCAATGTTCTGAAAAACAAATGGTTGTACTAAATAATGAAATAGAAACCATGAATCCAGACAAAACGAAAAGATGGACAAGGGTTAGTATGGTTATTAAGAATAGTATTGAACGATATGTAACAAAGCTTAATAAAAACTGTAGTTAACTCGTTTACGTTGTTCGAAACACAGTTCATTGTCAATGCGCAATGAATTCTTCTTTATTTGTAGTTGAATATCGATTCTTGTGGATACCTGTTTAAGGCGTCGGAGGCACTCGACTGATTCGGCTATCATTTTTTTTAAACCTTTCACATTGTTTTCTAGTTCGAGCACTTCGTCGTACAGCTGAACCTCTACTTCATCCCTGCACAATTCGATACCTTCTCTGCGCGTTCGGTTCAACAACCGCGTATGTGCTATTGCTAAGTGGGACTGTTTGTCATCCACAGCTTTTACAAGATTGTCGATTGTTATTTGAACTTGATTAATTTTGTCGATCGTCTAAAATCCAAATCACACACTGAATATTAAAGTTAATTTATTACGAGTAATTTTATTTATTTAATCAATTATAAGAATAATCAGTTTAAAAAAAATTATATTAAAATACATTTTAATCATCTAAAACCTACTTATTTTAACTTGATACACGAAAAACCAATTAATAATTATTATAAAAATATTATAAGAAAACTAATCGATCAAGCTAAAAAATATGTCACGTTAAAACATTTACTTACATTTACAAATTTTACTTAAAGTTTAACTTAACTATAATATTTTTTCTAACTACTAATTAAATCTAATATAATAATATCATCAATTATGGTTATCTAATTTATAATATTAATTTTGTAATCATATGTATAATATAAAAATGTAAGTGTACATATTTTCTAGAAATTATCTTCCTAACTTTGAAATTCTTGGAGAAACATCTACCAACTTTGGTTTCAAAACATGACAAATTTATACAACTAGAAAACAATTGATGAGTAAGATACCTACACATATTAATGCCAGATACTTAATTTTTCGAGGTCACTTAATTGATCTGCAACAATTCTGACGACATTAAGCACAAGATTTATCGAATATAATATAATATAAGTAGGTAGAACTTAGTAGCTTTTTATGGTAACGAATTACTATAATCCTTGTAAGCCTTGTAGAACCTTCCGGAAATGTTTAATGATAATTACATTCAGGTTTTAGACTCATAATACTAGAGAAAATTTTAATACCCTTTAGAATCATAGGCAGGAAACATTGCAAATCTTATTACCTTTTAATTAATGTAAAAATTTGATTTCGTTCTTTAAACTTTTAGTAGGTACTTAAATTTTAGTTTGTAGATAGGGTTAATTTCTATATTTTACTTTTAAAATTCTACTAAAAGATTGGTAAAAAATATTTGGGCAACGCTAAGTAACTCGTTAGTATATTATAAAATCAATGGTTATACTCGTATTATGAACTTTTATACGACTGTAAGAGTACTATTCCTAAATTAATTTATGAGTACGTTGAGCAAATGTTTTTCAATTGTACTAATGTATATATTTTATAATATAACACATACTTCGGTCTTCTGCTTGTTCAAATTTTCAATCATTTGTTCATACTCATCCACGCGTAATCTAATCGCTTGGTTGACTATATCTGATTGAACTTTCAGGTCTTCGGTCATTTTATTTAAACACTTGTCGAAAAATGCGCGAATAGGTCTACCATCTACTAATACTTTGTCAGCCTTTGTTATAATGTCCGACGTAAAACAATCCCATTCTATCATGGAAATCATACTATAGAAAATTAACATAAATACTAGATAGTTCATATATATATCGTACAACTATTCAACTAGATAAATAATTCCACCTTCTGGTGCATTGGCACAGGAGTTTTTAGAAATAAGTTATAGGACACATATTTGGTTTAAAAATAATATTGTATTACATTTTAATAGAAAAATATTATTATTATTATTAGTGCTTTGCTTTCATAGTCAAATATTTCGTTACATTGTCACACACATGTGCCCGTATCTTTATAGTAAAACCATCAAAGGGAATAACAGGTACCTTCTGATTTAAATAATGACTTTTTTTAAAGGAATTATATTTTTACCAGTCACAACAAGAAATAAAAAATTAATTATATTTTAAAGATTCAAACTAATTATTAGTTAAAAACACATTGCATTATAGGGATACAATTTAAGTACATTTATTGTTTTGATAAATATTATTAATTTAAATAGTGTTTATATAATTCCAGGTTTTTAAAATAATAAAAATGAAATAAATTATATAAGTTGGTTACGAAAGGTAATACATTAATAATAGATGAGTACAAATTGTCTAACGTTTAACTCAGTCAGAGCTGAATTCCCTACATATTATTATTAAATTTAAAATTTATAAATTCTGTTGATATTAATTGAAGGTTGTTGTTTATTAAAAAGATATAACTATTTACTGAATTATTATAAAAATATCAGAAATATCAATACAGATGATTGAGAAGGGTTCAAATTAATTATGATTGGGTTAGTAATTATAACTATAGGGATAGGTTAAATGGTAGTATAAGGTGTAGGCTTATGTTAGCAAAATCCTACACATATTGAGCTTATAAGTATATGCCTATTATAGCACTATAATATTTCAATTACAATGGAAAAATAATACAATAAAATAAAGATACTAATTAGATTCAAATTCAAATAATATTAATGTAGGTATATTATTAATTTACTATAATTTAAAATATTATTAGAAAAGACTCATTTAAATTAAATAAATGTAAAAAATATATTGGAAACTATGTAAAAGCTATAAAAATTATAAAACTATAAGTATGAAGTATTGGTAAGATATTTTTAAATGTCTTAAGAAATAACTTACGCTGGTTTAAATACATTTTTAGTATCCAACACTGAGCATTTTTCATTGAGCTGCTCATTGTGTTCTTCAATTTTAAGTGTATTTTGCTTTAAATGTAAATCTTCAGCTAAATTATAAGCAAATGGCCTTAGTTTTCTGATTTGTAATAAAACTTTATCTAACAACTCTTCAAGCTGATCTTTAATGCCCAAAATGAGTTCACGTTCTTTTAAAAGTTCCTTTTCTACATCATCAAACACCAAGTCTATACATTCCCTTTGTTTTCTAGAAGTAATATTAAATAATTATATAAAATATTTTATATTATGTTTTTGTACTGTTTCAATTACCTGGATTTAAGACACTCAGCAATTACATCAAGAGAATCACCGATAAGACATTTTTTGGCTTTTTCAATACGCCTTTGGTAATTTAAGAGTAACTCTATTTCTTCTTCCAATTCAAATTTTTTCTTTTCAATCTCATTACACTTATAAACTACGTCATTAACTTTCACCTTGGCCTGATGCTCAGTCTCAAGTTTATTTTTTACCACCGCTTCTTTTGCCTGGTTAATCAATCGATCTGCTTCAAGTATTAATCGTTGGGCCAATTCTTGTTGTTTCTCAGCAGTTTTTAATTCCAATTCACAATTTTTTTGCCATTCTATGGGTGTGTGAACATTTTTATAATTACAACTCATTTTTATTTTGATGATATAATTTAAATATTGGATTTAAATAACTTAAGTACTTTTTACTTCATAGTTCAACTGATAAACACACACACACACACACACACACTATATTGCTTTGATTATATGTTACTATGGTAATACAAATGAGCATATTGATTATAAATAAAGACCGGATTTATATGTTTTTACATATCGTTACTTGATCTATGCAGTTGTATGAGAGTAAAAAATGTGGACGATTCATTCAATTCTGAGTTAAAAGAACTGAAAAAAGTTTTTTTTGCATATTTGAGAATATATCATAGATTAGAGAATATTTAGCCCATTTAGCATATTTTAGAATATTTGATTTTTTTTTTTTTCATAGTTGGAGATTGTACAAACTGTTATCTGCAAACTTACCAATATACCTGGTGAAACGGGTAACATAATAAAAATACTAAAGTGTTTCAATTATGTTAAAAAAATAAAGGTTACCAAATGTTAGCAAAAGTTGGGAACATTTTATGTGGAAACTATGAAGATCTCTCTGAATATTTTACACCTAATGTAGTTGTTGACTTGAAGTTTGCATCTCTAAGATCTGTTGCTGTTGATCGTTCATTTAGTCTCTATAAACAAATTTTAAGCGATAGAAGAACTAACATGAGTACAGATAATATGTAAAATATATTATTGTTAATTCATATAATAAAATTTAAATAGTATTTCAAGTTTCTTTTTTATTCTTCAGGAAGTAAATACTTGCCATTGTATGCACAAAAGAAATATTGTTTCTTTTATACATATACATATATATATATAAATACACATAATTTGTTATTTTATATCTTGCATTAAATTGTTATTATTTAAGGATTACATTTTGTTAACTAATTTTTTTTTTTGTTTTATTATATTTTAATATATATAATTATTTGTTATTTTTAATATTGTGACAATAGTGTTAATACAACATTTAATTAATATATACCAAAGGAATATTGTTTTTAAATTTTAATACTGTAGACCAGGGATTGCCAATCAGTCGATCGCGTAAAATAATCAGATTAATTGGATAATGGGAATATTAGATTTAAAGAATAAAGACCTAAAGTTTCCTGGATGTCAATCACTAGGGACTTAAATTTCAAATGTAGCTCACTTGTTTGAAAACAATGGCGACCCCTGCTATAGACTATACTGTAATATTTTTACTATACTCCTACTCTTACTGAAGTACAATAGTATTGTATTATAATAGGCAACTACGTATATACCTTATAATTAAAAGAATGTTGTAAAGAAAAAATAATTTTTGAAAAATGCATATTAAACCGTATATTGATGTTTGTTGATTATTTTTGAATAATTTCGAATATTTTTACATATTTTTAAGATTTTTAAGAGAATATAATAAGAATATTTGGAGGTTTTTTAGGGAATATTAGCATCATATTTAAGGTATTTTGAGAGAATATAAATCCGGTCTTTAATTATAAGTAATAAAATAAACATTTAAATCTTCAAAAGACATTAAATTACAAAAATAATATTAAATATTTCACACTTATAAAATATATGGTATTTATTTATAAACTTGCAGGTCACTGTTATAACATAATTTCAAAATAGGTATGTTACAAAAAATATAATAATAAAAAAGACAATATATTTCAAAATTACATATTTCAATCAGTAGAATTTTTTCTTAAAACATAAAGTTATCACAGATTATTAGTTCTGTTAACCAATATATCATATATTGGTAACACATAGAATAAGAATTTTAATTTAACTGATTTAACAAGTCAGAATTTTTCATTAATACATAAATATATATATAAATAATAATATTAAGATTTGGTAATACAAATCATTAAAATAATAAATAATTGCAAATTGTATTATATAAATTTATACTACATTTTGTAGATATATACAATTAAAAAAACAGTAGGGATTGAAGTCAAAACTGTAATTTTTAATTACAAAAAAATTATACTAATATAAATAAAAACAAAAAATAGTAGAAAAAGCAATAATACATAATAATTATTATAACTAAATCAGAAACTTATTAGATTCCATATGAATCTAGCATTTTAACTTTATTCTCAAAAATTAAGAGATTATGACTGGTCGGTATGAATATCTTAATAATTAAAGAGTTCAAAATCAAAGGATATGCTATTAATAATTAATAATAAACAACCACAATTCACACAGAAATCAGACCATCAATTCATAAAGGAATATTATGCATCCATCCCCTTTTAGTAAAATTTATCAAAAATCAAAAATAATACTTCAAATTTAAAAATAATTACGTTATTTAATAGGTAAACTTAATATAATAATAATTACTATCATTGGACAGAGGAATTTGAGCATGAACTAATTAAAGTTCTAGTTTTATGAAGTAAATAATCATATTTAAGTACTCAGATCATAGTTAATTGAGCTAAATCAAAGCCAATTTCTGTTCTTTGTTCACTAAGCACATTGTCAAGAGTTTTTAAAACATTTTCCGGTAAATGATCCAATAGCATACGAGGCATTACACGGAGTTCTTTAAAGTCTTCAGGAGTAGCCCAACGCATTTCATAGTTATATTCATTACTGTCTGTGCCAGATTTTCTAAAATAATATATATTTATACATGCACATCTCATCTACATGGTCTATATTTTATAAAATACATACTTATCAGCTTTTTTTTGTTCTTTACTTTTCTTTTTTTTTGTAATGTGTAGTATGTGACCTGGAGTATACAAACGAATTTTTGAATATCTCCTGACGACTATTTCCTAAAAATAAAACCAATATATTTTCATAATGAAATTCCCTGTCATTCTTATACTTAACTAAGTCTTAAAATAATTCTTAACTAAATAAAAAACACATAATTACATTATAAGTAGGTGACATGGTGATTGGTTGTTCGTAAGGATATGACGATGTAGTTGGGACTAGTTGTTGATTATTACTAATTATATCAGCTGAAAAACCATCATTTTGCGTAATCATAGATAAAACAGGAGAATGTGTTGATAGTAGTGGAGAATTGCGCATTTCTGAAGGGTTTCGATGACGCCATGTAGATTCAAGGTCCCGAGACGGTACACCAAATAATGCATAGCCAAAACCATTTAGAAAAACTCGGTACTGAAAAAATAATAAATAAAAATATTTTAACGATTAAGAAATAAATCATTTTGAATTATGACATGTTGATCTTGAGCAAAATAATAATAGTTTAAGTACTGAAAATCTACCTATTTTTTTATAAAATATTTAGAGTAGATTAGATTTTAAAATTTATATTTTCTAATTAATGAAAATTAATGCTCCTTTGTTTTACAACTTAAAATTTGTAAGTAATGGTAACTAATTTACATTTTAATTTTTAAAACTAGCTTCAAGCAAAGAAGTTAAGTTATAAAGTTCTATTTAGTTAAAATCATTCATATATTATTTCCTCTTGTTGTGGTATTTTAATAAAAATATAATCAGAAACTATTATTGTAGAATTTAGGCTGTTATGTGATTTATTGTTTAAATGTGCTTTAATAATACTGCACTTCTATCAAAGGCTCTCTTGCTAATGTCAAACAATATATTAGTTATACAATAAGTTCCCGTTACAACAAACTCCAAGGGACCAAATTTTTTTTTGTTATAATAAAAATTTAAAAAATTCTAATAAAAAAAATTTCCAAAACATTATATAATTCAAATATGTACAAATAAATAATAAATATTTTAAAGTTCAATAATTTACAAAAAAAAAAATTTACTATAGATAATTGGCAATTTTATTTTGAACAAGGTTTACTGTTTTAATAGAAAATAAATAATTTTGTAGTTGGTGAATGTTTGTAAAGATGAAGTCTGGTACATAATTTCATAAAATTGTATGCTTGTTATATTTAGATTAAAATAAGAAGGGAATATATATTTTAACCAGTACAAATATTTTATTTGTATCAGGATTTTTAAAAATCAATTATTTCGTTATATTGAGATTCATTTAACATTGTTTTAATAGCTTTTCGGTAGGGGACTTCTATGACTTTTGTTATGACGGGATTTTTCGTTGTATTGGTATTTGTTGTAACGGGAACTTAATGTATATGTTTATGATACATTTTTTGTTTGATAAATAAATAATTTGGTCAAACAATAATATTGATTAAATTTAATAAAGGATTTTAGTTAAACTACCAGTCTATTTGTTATTAAAAAACAAATAATGTTATAAATCCAGATAATAGAAGATACTATTAAAAATAACTGTACTTTTGGTAATCTACACGATTGTAGAACTTGAATCATATTTGTTCGCAAATCTTCAACGTTATCAATTGTCATATGCATAACCATATCATCACCAACACCAACAGATAAAGTAAAATCTTCAGCTATTCTTGCAGCTTCTCGACTCAATAATCCAGCTATAATCAAAATTTTAATTTTAATCTAATAATTTTAGTACAACAAATAAGGCATTTCAAATTGTATCAGATAGCTATTATAAAAAAATTTACATTCATTGTGGTTTAAAAATGTAGTACATAGATTGTTATATAAATGTTTCATAAATAAATTAGCTAAAATTAATATTTTGAAAGACAATACATTATAATTTTGATTGTGTGATTACCTGGTGTAGCAAATGCATATACTTTAAGATTAGGATACAATGGTCTCATATAAAATGCTAAAAGTACTGATGTTCCAGCACCTAAGCTATGCCCTAGGTATCATAAATATTTAAATTAAAACTTTTAAATAGTAAAAAATAGATATTTAATTAACTTTACCAGTGATTACAAGATTGTATTCTGGAAAATTGGTAAAAGCTTTTTCTAAAACATTATGATTTTCTAATTCACTTTTAATGTATTTTGCACTGCATAACATTCCTTTATGAGCCTAAAAACGAATAAAAAATATATTTTTAGTTTTGAGTAGGCTTACAATTAAAAAAGTTTTGTTTTTTACATAGCTATCAGGTGGAACTCCATAGGCATCTAATTTTTCTACAACAGCAGTCAGATCTGTGAATATATCTCGCATTGATAATGATCCTCTAATAGCGATGACAATACTACTAGTTTCATGATCAGCAGTAACAAAAAATGGTAATTCAAAGATATGATTAACAAATGAAGCGAATAAAATATCTTTAGAATGTAGTTTTGACATGTACCGAATTGCTGCAAAGTTACATAGACAGCAATTATCTTCTTTGACCACAGTCGGTTTAGCTCTATATGAATAAAATAATCATAATTTATGTGTTTAAATTCTAATAAAATAAAATAATTTACCTAAAACAAGCACAGCAAAGAAATTTAGGCATCATTTTAAATAACCCTGTTATACAATAACGGTAAATCAGAAATGGCCAACCATAAATAGCAACAGATAATTGTAGATAATGCCTGGCTTTTTTTAAACACATCCAATTTGGTTTTCCAGTAAAACACTCACTAACAACTAAAAGACAAATATTTAAGTACTTAAACAAATAAAAAAAATATAATTTAGCAAATTTAATTTTTACATACTAGAAGTACAGTTATATCTTTGTTCAGCTAAGAGAGCAAGTCTTCTTTGTTCTCTAGACTCACGTTTTTGCTTTACTCTTAACAATACAAAACCAGCTATAAAGTCTGATGGGACAATGTCGGTATTTCGGAACATAGAACTCATTAGTCCTGAATGCAAAAAAATAATAAAATACATAATTTATATTTTTTAACAATCATTTTACATTTATGCCATTTATATTTAGTATTACTGACCAGCTGCTTGAGAAAATGCTTCATGTGAATGTTCATCTCTAATTAACCAGCAAAAAAACCATCTGAAGCGTCTCACCCAAATGCGAGTAACTTTACGATGTAACAGTGTATCTGTATCTACATTACTATTAGCTCCTTCTTGAATTTTCAATGAACCAACTGGATCTAACACCATAGCTAATAAAAATATTAAACCTCCTAACATAACCCAATTGAACAGTACTCCAACTAATAAAAATAATAAATAAATAAATTAGTATAATAACAAATATTTAATTTTTTTTTTTAATTTTTACTTTCTACAACAGTATTTGTAAAATGTTCATGGTCACATTGTATACAATCCGTGTAAGTCCATATAGTTCCAAGTATGTTTAATCCTATTTCTGGTAAGAGTAATATAATCCTATAAAATATAATGTATTAATAAATTAACTATATGAAATAAAAATATGAGTTTTGACAAATATTTATAATATTTATCTTACTTTGTAACTAGTATATGCGGAACAAAACGTCTAGCTTTTGTATCATATATTGCTCCTTGAGCACTCCGATTCACTAAAACCATGACTATCAGAATAATTATGGAATGCATTACAACTATCCCAATAAGATAAATTCTGACTAATAAGCCACCAGTCACACAGTTGAATGTCCATTGGTAATAACGGCATAGCACACAACTCATTAAAGTTAGCCTGAAAATCAAAGTTTACAGAATTAATCATAAAAAATTTGAAAATAAATATTTTATTTTTAAAACATTATATAGTTGTTAATATTGCTGTAAAGTTAATTCTAGCCTTAATTTTTTTCTTACTGAATTTAATAATTTTAAAGTTAAACACATCACCAAAAATCAATGTAGTTCTAAATTGAAATTCATTACATTAAATTATTTATTCATTTATTAATTAACACTCGCAAGAGGTCATGTACAGATATATAGTACGTCAGAAATTTTATGACATTAGATACACTTATATGCTACAATTTAGTACAAAATATATGGTTTTAATTTTGATATATGTCAAAATTAAAGCCAAAATTAAGAAGTTTGTTATATGACTTAGGCAAGTGGCATATTGAACAGCTAGTTACATAGTTATGTGTACTGGGGGGGAGGGGATATAAAAACTTAAAACATTCCTAGAGTTAAATGCAGAAACTTTAAAACCAATTTGTGATAAAAATTCAAAATAATCCATCATACCATTTATTAATTTATAAATAAATACAATATCATACTTAAGACGAGAATGATACAAGACCAATACGAGTAGCAATATCCAAAGAAGACATATTATCAGTGGCGTATCCAGGGGGGTAAGGGGGTTATAAACCCCTCCCCCCCGAAAATGTTTATTGTATGTATATTGTTTATTGATTATAATAAAAACACACAAAATTCAAAAAAAATTTAATGTTCCATTTTTTATAACCCTCCCCCCAAAAAAAATTTTGGATACGCCACTACATATTATTATCCAAAATTTGTATGAAATGTCTTTGAAGTTTATTTAGCTTATCAATTTGACTAGACTGGGACGGATTCTAAACTACAGCCCCAAATTCTAAAATGGACCTAATCAATACTTGATAAAGAGCAATAAGATATTATATATTTTTAAATTTGAATTATATTTAAATATATAAACTCAACTACTCTTAACCCTTAAAAGTAAATTGAATATGAGAATTAAAACTTAAGTCATTTGAAAAAATAATCCCTAAGTCAAGAACTTGATCTGTATGAATGATTTTTTCATTATATATCCAGGACTTAAAATTCATAATAGATTTATAAAAATGTAAAGTAATATGAATACATTTTGATGTATTAATAGAAAGATCATTAACAATACACCAATCAACCAAACGGTTCAAATTTGATTGTAAATTGTTAGCGTTGGAAAATTTGTTATCAGAATGTGTATGTATTCGCATCCCTGATAATACTCAAAATAAAGATTTTTTTTTCATATCACTTGGTTGAAACAATTTTGCAAAAAATGCAACCCTAACAAGAATAATGTCAATATTGAATAACTACCAATAATTTCGTACTTAGTTATATTTATAATTTATTTTAATTTTATTACACATAAATATATTGTATCCTGAATATTGTTTTGTTTAAAATTACTGTTGTTAAGATTTTAATAAAAGCCGGTTTTAATTATATGTATACATAAAAATTAAGATTAGATGATTTAAGAAGATATTCAGTAGTAAATTGTTAGCTTCATTTCAATATTCTAGCTGGGTTATCTGAGAGTTTTCTTTGCATATGATATTTTTTAATTTATTTTTAAATGAGTTCTGAGATTTTTGAAATTGCAGTATTATACAAAATCATAACTGGCTTAAATTAAAATTAAAATATTGTAGACAATCTATAATATTACATACATAATTTCAGTCCCATTTAAGTTTGAAAGAGTTAAATTTGTACAATGAAAATAACACATGCAGGTATGGCATCCTTTCACCAGATTTTAATATTTTAATTAGTAGTAATAATTAATTGAAAAATGTTCCATAATCAAAGCCAATATTAAGAAAAAAATATAATTTTAATAAATTAGTACTTAGTTTATATAATATATAGATAGTATTCAACCATTTTTGAACCAAACAATAAAATAAATATGCTTTTCATAATTGAGTACTATTACATATGAACGTACATTACTATCATATATAAATTGAACTTTTAATGTGGAATTATTACATAATATGAAATTCCTATGGAAAAATATACTAGTGGTTGTAATTAGATTTTTATATCTGATATATTTGGTCACAGTTAAGCAATAACTCTAAGGATAATTTATAAAACCCAAAGCCAATTACATTTTAAAATATAATACGAGTATTACTTTGAAGTATAATAAATTTAATCTTAATTAGTAAGTTTAAGTTGGTGTCATAATATCTTTCTAATATCTTAAATAAAAAAGTTTAATAAATAATGAACGTTGGTTCATATATTGAATAAAATATCAGTGACAATATATTGGTAATAATTTAGGCTGGGATTTTAATGATCTAAAAAATGCGTATAAAAATGTATTAATCGTAGTTTAAAAATTTTATTGTAAAAATCATGTTACCAAACATATTTAATTATATTTATTTAAAATAATAATAACAAAATGGGTACTTTTTTGTTTAATATTTACATTTTATTTAACTTTATTTAAATTTAATTTATTTTATGATTTTTTGTTATGATCGTCTTGGACTCTTGTAAATAGAAAAAAAAATGTTCGACTATATTAATTTTGTTCTATTTTTTATAAATATGAAGATAAGTTTTTTAATTATTTTAAGATGTTAATTAAATTATTTAATGAATTATTAGAATTTCTGCTATCCATGGTAAAAACTAAAAATATCGACAATGTCAAAAACAATGAACAAACGCACCACTAGCAGTTTTTACATCAAAATAATATAAATTTAACTGGTGGCCCGACAATTTTGGCCACGCGTTTAGCATATTTGGTCACATGAACTGATAAGAGTGGCGTGGCCAAATTTGTGGCTTCACCAAATGTGAAAACCTTAATTTAGTTATTAATAATTTGTGGTGACGCTGCCATGGTGGCCTCGTATGAAAGAGGCCTAAACCCAATCTGCCACATAACACTTCGATCATAATAATAAAATAATTGACCATATTTTGTTGATCACTAAATAATCATTTAAATGGCACCTACAAATTCGACGCTAACATAGTTAATAACATATGCTTACGAGATATAGTCCTTAACAAAAGACAATGAGAGAAAATTAATTATACTTAAGAGAAAAATAATCCAGAAAATCTATGAGCCACGATTTAATCAATAAACAAATATCTTAGAAAGGAGAAGAAACAAGGAATTACAGAGATTTTATTACAGACAAAATATCTTAGCGTTTATAAGGAATAAACGATTGGAGTGGTTTGGACATACTTGAAGAGCAGATGGACAAATAAAAAAATAAAATACTCGCAGGAAAAATGAGCAACACTAGGCTCCTAGAATCCAATGGATCGATGTAAAAATCAGAGACTTGAAAGAGATAGACCAGAATGTAACCTTTGCGGTGACTTACAACATAGATGACGAGACCTTTTGAAGACAGAAATGATCATTAATGGATCAGTAAGGTGAGAAGAAGTTATATTTTTAATTCACATTGTAATAGATACTCATTGCAATACTGAAAAAATATCAGAAGTATAAAAGACAAAGGATTATTATTTGAAGATTATACGATAGTAAAATATTATAGTATACAATTAGTTACAATAAGTTTACAATAGCGTTTTATTATAAAATACTTGCCTTCAAAACGTTTATACTTTTGTAAAACTTATTGACATGGTAAACGAGAAAGTAATAAATCTATATAAAAAACGTAACAATTTATTTGGTAATGGAATGAATTACCATTCTGGTTGAGTAAATAGTGGTGCTGACTATAAGATGAGATGGTACGATTTGGAGCAAAATACATCTGTAACTACTTGAAGGTGGTTCAAAGTACCATTACCAAAGTTAACTGACAGTGGTGACTTATAAATGATAATTTTGTTGAAAACAAAACGTTGACTTATATTATTCAATAATACAAATTGAAAAATATTTTGCATCACAGTTTAATCAATTCAAATATTTAAGGGGGATTGCAATCCATGATTTTCTATCTCTATCTATCACACGAGTAGTATAAGGAATTAGATTCGTTATATTTCCAACGTACTGATCCATGAATCGATGCGATAAGGATTTAAAAAATTTATTTAAATTTGTCAATATTAGAATGACTTTCCATGTTATTTTTAACACACCAAACAAAAAATAGTCTTTAGTTAATTATTATACTTTCAATTTGTTTAATTTTTATTTTTCGTGAAATTTTGGGCGACAAGATAAAAAAAGTGGGAAAGTTTATCTAAAGTACATTTTAGAATGAATTAAAATGAGTTTTTAAAATTCTCACAGCATCAATTGATCGATCGGTACATTAGAAAAAGAAAACGTGTAAATCATTGTGTAATATGTGTGATAGAGACAGAAAATCATTGCTTGCAATCTCCTTAATTAATATTAAAATATATTATAGGTATAATCAGTGACTGATATTTCTTACATGCTATGAATTATTTTATCAAGTATCCTTTTTTTTATTTCTAGACTATTTTTGACTCTTAAAATTATAATTTCTACGTAGTATTCTAAAATATTAAAACTTAAAAACTATGATTCACTTAAATTTGTCTTACTAGTTATTTATATCTGCTGTAATCTAATATTATAAATTATATATTCTTTAAAATATATAAAATAATCAGAAATATAATTATTTCAATATGTGGACAAATAGAAGCATAAGTAACTTAACAGTAATTTTTCTTAAATTATTTTATTACACATATTTACATTACAAAATATATAAGTAAAATAACTACTTTTTGCAGAGTAATCGGAATTGTAAGTTACAATGTAGGGATTGCATAGATTAGGTTAGGTTAAATTAGCAATTTTGCAAACGAATTTCTAATCACTCTGGGTATATTTTACATAATATTTTTTGCAACAAATTGGCGAACTAAGTATAAAACGGAACGACGTATACCAATTTCTTTTTGTAGGTCGTTGTTTATACAGTATGAAGTCCTAAATAAAAAGCGGAGCCTTGG